TTAAATTCGCAATAGATATTAAAAAAATAATCAACTTTTTATTTCATATGAAATCAACAATATAAAACATATTAATATTTTGACAGATATCTTGATTATTAAACAGAAGTCCCCAACCTTTTTCTACTTGAGGGCACATTTTTTGATTAATATTCACATGTTGGCCACCTTTTTATTTTTTTCCATATATATTTTCATTGTTAATAATAATAAAAAAGAATTCATAATTGGTAATTGGTTGACTGTCGTGGATAATGAAGAGAAGAATAGTTGGGGTGCTCAGTCAAAAAAGGAAGGCAAAAATAAATTATAATATTTATTTTTTACATCTGCCGACGTTTCGACCTGAAGTTCAGGCCATCATCAGGGCTTTCTTCTAAAATGTCAAAGTGAGAATGATGTTTCTGTTGAGAATGATGTTTCTCACTTTGACATTTTAGGAGAAAGCCCTGATGATGGCCTGAACTTCAGGTCGAAACGTCGGCAGATGTAAAAAATAAATATTATAATTTATTTTTGCCTTCCTTTTTTGACTGAGCACCCCAACTATTCTTCTCTTCATAAAAAAGAATTGATTATATTCTTATATAAAATAAATAATCATTTAATATTACTTTATAAATTTATACAAAATATGAAATTTTTTTATAAGAAATACAACTGCTAAAGATAATTTAATGTTTGTAATAATAAAAATAATCTTTTTATTTATTCTGGGATGAATCCTTTTAGAATAATTAACAAGAATAGGAATGTGGGCTTTTGAGCCTCAGATGTATTTATATGTATTTACAAAGTAAACTAATAGATATAACAGAAAAAAAGTTATCTTCTAACTTAAATCGATTAAGAAAAATAAAAAATAAATCATAGAACAATGAAATAAAAATAAACTAATAATATATATAAATATTTACAGAAATTTCTATTTACAATTTTATAGGGACTGGGTGGGAAGAAAGTAACTGAATAGGCGGGATTTAAAAGTAGTGAGAGTATTGGAACAAGGGATGTCGGGATGGATAGAGTTCCATAGGGATGAGGAGGGAATAATAAAAGACTTATCGAAAGCAGTGGTTCGATGGGCCATTATATATAATTCGGAACAGGTATTTCAGGAGTGAACAGAGGATTTAAATTGAAAGAACTCGAAGATGTATGAAGGATGGCAGGAATGAATCGATTGGAAAAGGAAGAATGTCAGGAAATACTTAGGTGGTAGGAAGGATAAAGCCACTTCAACTCTTTATAAAAGCAGGAAACAGGGGCATCTCTTGGGATTCCGAAAATAAATCGTTCAAAGCAATTTATCAAACGTTCTAGTTTCGCCTCAAGATCTCCAGAGACGCCTCCATATACCATACAGTGATAGTCAAGGTGGGGAAATATTAAGGAGGTGACCATGAGTTTATTTAAATGTTTTAAGGTGGAAAAGTTATGTTGGGAGATAATTTACTGCATTTCATTAATCAGTGCTTCATAATTTGTGCTTTAGAAAATTATTGTAATATTATAATCTGAAATGATAAAATAGGAGACCTAACTGAATGCAAAATTACCAATGTAATAATTTAGTTTTTATTCTAGAGAAAAAAAACAACAAAAAAAATAGAGAAAGATAATGATGGAAATTGACTGGAACATATTTTTGGTATCCATAATGACTATTTTCAAAGAATCACAATTGTATTTTCAATTAATTACATGTTAAATATTTTATATATTTATCAGTATTATTATAGATCACTATTACAGACAAAATCCTAAATAAGCAGGCACAATATTGGCAGTACATAGTGAGTTGAGGATCCTTATTATAAAGGATATAGACAGTTGAATATAATGCTGTAATAATAAAATATTAGAAATTTTCTCAGAATAAAATGTGTTTTATTATGGAAATGATAACTAATAATAGTTTTCTTAAAGGTTTTTTTTTTTTTTTAAAGTTAATACTTAATACTCTTTATTTAATAACAAATAAAACAAAATATTTTCAGAATTGAAAACAAAATTAACATAAATTTATTATATTTCAGTATATCTTTGGCTCCATGTTAAAGTAACTTAAGTGAACATTGCGCATCCATTACGTTAACATGTTGCTGACGATATAACAAATATATATCACATATCTCATACATGAAATGTACAAGCATAATTAACTTTCAGATGCTGGGTGCTGCGACTACGTACCTTGTCATTCTTCTGCAAGTAAGACAAGACCCGATCAATATTTCTCAAGCTGACAATGTGACAACAGGCCTTGCAATTTAAACATTTTTTTTTTTTCTCCCATTCCTCACCTTTTAGACTATATGGAGTTGAACTAGAAAACTTCAATTTATCACAGGTTGCAAAGCATGTGCCGAGAAAAACATATTTTGCACACATTATGCAATGAGCCTCAGCCCGTTTAGCAACACCTATGCCCTATTTAAATAAACTATTAGAAATTTTTCGAACTTCTACATTATTCTGTTCCCTCGAAACATTTCTATAATTATCTATTCTATATATCCTTTTTCTTATCCTACATCACTTATCAAATTCCTCAATACCATATCCTTCCCTTTAAGACCTAAATGACTTTTTTTTTTGTAATTTAGAAATGGATACAGCTGACTGTTAAAAATATTGTGTTTTTTTCCCAATTGTTTTTTAAAGCTGAAAAATTCCTTGCAGTTATTCTTAGCCCAGCTTTATTATGCATACTTCTTTCTTATTTTATTTATTTATTTGTACTTTTTATAAATCTATTTATTTTTATTTAATTTTTTCTTGGTATATTATTATTTTTAAATTATTATTATCTCATTTGTACTTTCCATCTTTTTATCTTGGCTTTTTTACGTGGTTATTATTACATTTCAACTTATTATATTACTATCTTATTATATTATATATCTATATTTTATTTTTCTGATGTATTTTTTTAATTTTTAGTCCTAATGATGACCCACACACTTGGGTTGAAACGTCTAATAAACCATATAAAGATCAAAATCCTGATTATTTGTCATCCTCATAATTTTTAAAAATTAAACTTATAGGCAACTGGTCACCAATAAATATTCATTTATTTACTTAAGGAAGAGTTCAATCGTATTTTAGGTATAATGGTATAACATTTTTTTTCTTCCTTATATGTTATTTATTTATCTGTCCAACGTTTTGGGCTCTTTGCCCCTATGTCTTCAGATTGGAAGTTTCTTGCAACGTATACATAGAAGAAACCTCCAAAAAATTAACGACTGGAATCAACCAACATAAAAAATACTAACAGTCTAAAAATCATAAATCCAACTACCCTCTCACAACTAAAAAAAAAATTGCTTACTCGGGCCACCAAGGGAAAACTTTTTACAGCCAAAAGACATATTTTTTCGATATTTCTTTGTTTTTTCGCCTATAATTCCTAAACGATGCATCAATGCGAAAAATGTACACTTTAATAAATTAAAGAACGTTAAATTGTGTGTCGAATGAGTACATAAACTTTACTTTATACTTATAATTTGGTTGCTTGGTAAGGTATAAAACCACGGTCAACCAATGCCGATTTTTACCAAATTTGTCAAAAACTGAGACAAATTTCTATAAATGGCTCTGTAATTTGGAAATGAGTTCCCTTAGAGGTAAAACTCATAGAATCAAAGTTGTATAGCATCTAATTCTTCAGGGTGCTAAATACGAATCTCAACTCTGTTCTGCCTTAAAAAAAAATGCTTAAGATTGTATTTTTCATTTATTGCATTTTCATTACATTGTATTTATAATTATTGTATTTATATGTTGTACATCTAATATTGTATATCCAATTATTGTATTTCCACGTCATATTTCTAATTATGATATTTCAATGTTATATTTCTAATAATTGTATTACATGTTGTATTTCTAATTCTTGCATTTCCACGTTGTGTTTCTAATTATTCTATTTTCATGTGGTATTTCTAATTATTGTATTCCTCATCATTGTATTTTTATGTCGTATTCCTCATCAATGTATTTTTTAAATTGTACTCCTCAGTATAGTATTAATAGATTTTATTATGTAATTAATGCGACTTGTAAATACAATAATTAGAATTATAATACCGAAAAATAAAATTCATAAAAATAAAATAGACAAAAATTTCAAGATTATAATGTTTGGTTAAAAATTTTAAAATGAACTAAAAAAGTTCGACTTTTCGATTGCTACGAAAAGTCGTATTTGAGGGTTACTTGGGGTGCTAAATACGAAGCTCAACACTGTTCCGCTGTAAAAAAATGTGAGATTGTATTTTTCATTTATTGTATTTTCATTGCATTGTATTTCTAATTATTGTATTTCCAATTGTTGGGTTTCCATGTTGTAAATCTAATTGTTGTATATCCATGTTGAATATCTAATTGTATTTTCATGTTGTGTTCCTCTTCATTATATTTTCATGTGTTCCTCATCATTGTATTTTTATATTGTATTCCTCATCATTCTATTTTTAAATTGTATTCCTGAGGTTAGTACTCATATATTTTATTATGTAACTAATACAGCATAGAAATACATTAATAAGAATACAATATATGGAATATACAATAAATGAAGAATACAATCCACAGAAAATAAAATACTCAAGAATACAATTTAAAAAAAAAAGAATGGTGAGGAATAAAACATGAAAATACAATACTTAGAAATATAATGCAATAAAAATACAATAAATTAAGAATACAATCCATGGAAAATACAATGAATTAGGAATACAATCCATGGAAAATACAATGAATCAAGAATACAATCCATGGAAAATACAATGAATTAAGAATACAATCCATGGAAAATACAATAAATTAAGAATACAATCCATGGAAAATACAATAAATTAAGAATACAATCCATGGAAAATACAATAAATTAAGAATACAATCCATGGAAAATACAATAAATTAGGAATACAATGAATTAAGAATACAATACATGGAAAATATAATAAATGAAGAATACAATCCACGGATAATACAATAAATGAAGAATACAATCCACGGATAATACAACAAATGAAGAATACAATTCACCGATAATACAATAAATGAAGAATACAATCCAAGGATAATACAATAAATGAAGAATACAATCCAAGGATAATACAATGAATTAAGAATACAATCCATGGAAAATACAATGAATTAAGAATACAATCCATGGAAAATACAATAAATTAAGAATACAATCCATGGAAAATACAATAAATGAAGAATACAATCCACGGATAATACAATAAATGAAGAATACAATCAACGGATAATACAATAAATGAAGAATACAATCCACGGATAATACAATAAATGAAGAATACAATTCACCGATAATACAATAAATGAAGAATACAATCCACGGATAATACAATAAATGAAGAATACAATCCAAGGATAATACAATAAATGAAGAATACAATCCATGGAAAATACAATAAATTAAGAATACAATCCACGGATAATACAATACATAAAAATAAAATATGAAAAATATAATGATGAGGAATAAAATAATTAGAAATGCAATACGGAAATACAATAATTAGACATACAACATGAATATACAATGTACTACAGATTTTCGGAAAAAAATCCAAGATTATAGTCTTAGTTAAAAATTAAACGACAAAGTTTTATTCCTCGATTGCTATGAAAATTCATAATTGATGGTTCATCGAGGTGCTTAATACAAATCTGAACTCTGTTTCTCCAAAAAACATGTCTGAGATATTTGCAAATAAAAATTCTTCTCTTTCTTTCAAAATTTTTTCCACCGAACATTAGGGAGTATGAGACTATGGTACTTCACGTCACCATCAAATACCGTTTCATTTGATGCCTCATTCGTAAAATCCGTGTTTTTCAAAATTTTGACAAAAATTCCAAGATTATAAGCCTTGGTTAAAAATTGAACCAAAAAAGTTGTATTTTCGATTGCTATGAAAATTTGTATTTGAGGATTCTTCTTGCAAATAAAAATTGTTCTCTTTCGCTTATAACTTGTTCCACTAAACTTTTGGGAGGTTGTGACTATGGTTTTACATGTCTCTGTCAAATACTCTTTCATTTGATACCCCATTCGTAAAAATCTCTGGTTACCAAAATTTTGGTGATTTTCGACAAAAATAATAGGCTATTATTATAATCTTGGTTAAAAATTGAATCAAAAAAGTTTATTTTTCAAATGCTATGAAAATTCGTATTTAAGGATTCTTCGAGGTGCTGACTATAAATTTGAACTCTATAAAAGAATGTCAGAGATATTTGAAAATAAAAATTTTGAGCTGACAGATCTTCATGCCCCTATAATGAAATACTTTTCTTCATCTATACTCACCAATTTAGCCTTTTATTTAGGGCATCGTTTTACACTTTTATTTTTGTACTAACTTCTATAACTATAACTATAACTTTTATACAATCGGAATGTTGTATTTTTACAATTTTTTAAAAATAAAATATAATGCTAATGGTTAGTGCAAAGTGTCATATATCAAAATTTACTTTTATAACAGATCATAAAAATTGATTATTTCTTTATAATTTTTTAGTATAATTTCATATTTTATTTTCCTTGGCTATTTTCCTATTTAGTAGGCTACTTATAGCAGAGTAGCTGACTACAAAATGTCAACTGCAGCGCAAACAGAAGATACATATAAAAAAGTTACATAAAACTTTTTGCATTAAGAGTAGCAATAAACTTTTAAACCTTTACTTTTTATATAATTGACCTTTTATGTTATTGAATGAGACAACTAAAAACAAAATTATTTTTTGTTTTTGTCATGTCCTCTCTTAAACAGAATATAATAGAAAATAGAATTCATCACTGAACTCCTCATCATTTAAATAGAAAGAGCCTGCTAACTCATTAATAAGTCCACCATCATCTGGGCCCGATTTCTTTTCGACTCATATACGAGTCGTTGAAGGCTTAATTGCCGATACTCTTATGGTGGCTGCTTTTATAGCATAGATTGTGACAAAGCTCTTTTTAATGTTACGTTATGCCTTTACTAAGAGATTGGGTACCGTGGTTAACTAACAAATTCATATAAAAAAAAAACCTGAACCACAACCCATGAAGGGTCTTGGGTTCAATACTATTTTAGGGAAAGCACTTTTTCTAGGTCAACGGTTGTGCAAGGAGGTGATTTGACCGAGATCACGCTCAACTGCCAGGTTTTCCCCCTTAATCAATTATTTAATTAAGGGTACTTACTTTATAGAGGCTGGGTGTGCCCAAGGAGGGTCTCCCAACTCAAGGTCGCCTCACGGCCAACGAAACAGATAAATAAATTTTCTGCCATGAGCCGGGGTTCGAACCTGGGACCTTTAGCCTTAAAAGCTCAGTAGCCTACCACTGAGCTACCCCACTCCCCAAAAAATTCATATAAGCAAATTAAAAAAAAAAATTCTAAACATATCTGAGGAGTTTTACTATTTCAATGCACTCATGTTTTACTGTTTAGCTCTGACATACATTCTTCAAAAAGCTAACAACGAACCTATCATTTGTCAACAAGAAACGAATATCTGAAAAGCAGATAATAATGGTTCAATAATTAAATTTAAATCAAACAAACGAAAACTTTATTAATGATATCAACTAGTTCACATATTGGCAGGAATTAAATGAATCATGAAACATATAGTCAATAGTTAGAAACATTTTAAAACATGTATCATGATTAATTGGTAACACAATATTCTAATATTTGATATAATGTATTGAAATTATAATTCAATAATACATAACAGTTTAGTTTTCAACATATTAAAAATAAATCTAATTATAAATAAACTTGAAAATTTCTAAAAAAGGATTGTGAAAAGTTTACACTCACATTACATGTAGTTATGTTATTTAAGAGAGAACAAGAGAATAAAAATAATAGTAAGTGAAAACCCTTTTTTATTATAACAATATACCAAATACTTTGATTTTATAACAAATGTTAAAAATAAAATTATAGCCGACATACTATAAAAAAATAAAATAAATATTTATAATTTTTGTACAGGCATAAAATAAACCAAAGTTAAAAAACTTTATCACAATATAGTTGATTGATATCAGTACCAGAATGGTTTTATCAATTTATATACAATAGTAACTATAGAAATTTTGTAACTTTATAGAGCCATTATTTCAGAAAATTAAGCAGTTACAAAAACAGACTATACAATGAAACTAAAACACTGAAAATCTAAGCTAGAGAAGCTTCGTCTCTAAATACTAAATTGGTTTTCTTCTTCATAATACTTGTTGGATAGCTTTGATTTGAAAAAACAAAATCATTCCTTCATAGTATTATTACGTTCAAATTAGAATTATAGTTGTTTTTTTTTCATATCACCAGCTCTGCAAAGAGAAACAAAATTAGAGGTAACATAAAAAATAAATAAATAAAAGATTTGATATACACTAGAGTCGTCCGCCTATTACAGATAACAAGGAGGGATCCCGCCCCCCCCCACAAAAAAAGAAAAAAGCAAGAATTTTGTTTTAACTTCTTTATTTACAAATATTTTACATCGAATTTTTATCACCTTCAAAGTAATTTCCATTGACGTTAATGCAACAGTCCAATCTTTTCAGCTATTGTTCAAAACTGTTTTTATATTAATTGGGATGTCCACAGTCTCAAAACATTTTCCTTTCATCTCTCTTTTCAATCTAGAGAACAGAAAGAAGTCACAGAGATCCAAGCCTGGCGAATGTAGGGGAGATCAACAATCGCTATCAAGCAATTTTTAAACAAAAACTACTACACAGATAGTGAGATGTAGTACGTTGTGATAAAACAACCAATACCCTGTGTGCACCAAAGATCCACCCTTTTCTTCCAGGTATTCTCCCACAATCTCTTCAAAACATTCAACCGTCAATTTTTTTAACATTGTCATCTGTTCAAACATGGAAACCATTTGTAAACATATGTTTCGTTTACGACATCATCCCCATCAGCTGTTTTAAGCATCACAATAGTTTCCATGAGTATTTTCCTAAAATTAGAAATCAAAATTTCACAGACACGTGTTACTCATAATTAGAGATAGGATTTTCCTGCAGTAAAAAACTCAAAATGGGCAAAATCGGGCAGTAAAAATCCAAAATACGTAAAATTTTGTAAGTAACACCTACAAATGTGTAAAATCATCAATATTGTTTAATTTATAACATTAATACATCAAAATCATATCAGATCTTGAGTTAACCGAAAAATAAAAAAAAAGAAAATTGAACTTTGCAAATGAAATTTCACATTATAATAACGATTATTATCAAATAATGCAGAACATTGAAGGTTTGAAGGAACAAATGAAGGTAGTAATTATAGGTACCTATATATTATATAGACCAGACCGATTTTAGATATTTAACTTTTATTAAAATAATAATGAAAACTATATTTTTTTAATAGAGTTGAAATTTCCAATATTATGCATTTCAAAAGTTTGAAATAGACTGTAATGTTTGATATTTTCAAGTGTTCAAAAATTAGTGTGAAGCTTTTTTTCTGTATCACTAAAAAAAAAATATTTTTGGAGATTACGTTCTTTCTAAAAAACAACACTCAATTCTTTGATAAGAATATGTTTTTTTTACATGTTCCTCAATGAGCGTCTATCAGTGATTTCCTATCATCTGATTGATTTTTTCATAAGGTGTATAGAACTTTCTCATCAAATTATTTGTCCTCACATTTCAAATTGGGGTATTTTTATATCCAGATTTTAATTTTTGACAGGAGACTTAGATTTTACTTTCTGCATAATACTTTTTTAATTTTTTTGTTAATAACAATGAAATTTTTATAAATCAATTCAAAGGCAGAAGAGATATCTATGGATTGAGCGGTGAGTGAGGATTCAAGTCAAAACAATAACTATAAATGCCTTACTGACAAAACAGCTAATCCTAGGAAAGCAGCATTTTATTATCCAATACTTTAGGCAAGTTCTATTCCAAGAATAGATCTCACTTGTGTTTACTTCTTCCTTTTGTAATGAATACGATTTTTGCTTCACACAGAATTATTTGCCTTCTTCACATTTTTATATTTTGAATTTAATTTGAACAATATAGCAAATAAAAAGTGAAATAAATATTAACACAACGGCGAAACTTGCAAAATAAAATTTAAATATGTTATTCTGCTAGTCCTGAATCGGATAGATATTAGGGTCCGGAGTTTTTAGAAGCAAGCGAATAAAATGTGCAATAACATGGAAATCAGGTGTCTACTCATAATAGTCTGCCATTTCACATTTTCCCCAAAACGGAAAATATTAATTATAATGAATATAATATTAATGAATTAATTTATTAAATTAATTCTCATAAATCCCTCTCGTAAATTAATATACTTGAAAAAATATAAAATAATCTGAAGAAGTGTGTATTTGATTGGAGGTGGAGTTTTGAAAACCTATGTTAACGTATACAGCAATTAAAACGTATTAATCAATAATAAAAGAAAAATAATGTTACGGTAAGAATGATTAGCTATAAAATAATACATATAAAAATAAAATGATACCTCTAATATCACATTAAACAACATTGATTTGGATCCATTCCGGGTATACAATTCGGAACGCCATTTTCATCGCAGGCTAAAGGTGAACCTTCATCACTGACTAAGTCTTTTGGAGGTTGGCCTAGTTTCTGAATCTGAAATTTAATAAGATAAAAAATCAGTATTCCAATTTATGTTTCATTTAAAAATAAATTTTTTAAAATGAATTTATTTATCTATCATGAATAAATATTAATATAATTGAAGAGAAAATTTGTTGGAGTGTTCAGTAAATAAAAAAAAAAAAATTAAATTAAAAAATAAATAAATTATATTTGTTTTTTGCTGACGATTTGGTCCAAAGATCAGGTCTTCATCAGGGCTAAGAAAAAAACAGATAACAATGGATATGAGAAACTATTAACATTAAAAAGAAAATAATATTATGTAGGTGAAAGTTATAGTCTAAAAACAAGTAGGTAGAATAAACTTAAAGTAAAATAAAGTAGGTAGAATAAACTTAAAGGAAATTTAAAATAATAATAACAATTTAGGGATAGAAAGTAGCAGAAGCAAAATTAGGATACATAACATAACGGTAACAAAGTTGGGAAATTATGAATAAAATAATAACAGTAATAGAGAACTATGAAATAAAGTAACATAAGAAATGAATAAATTAACAACGAAATATAAGTGTCATAAATAGAATAAATGCCAATGACATAGTTGCTAAAATATGATGTCTTAGAATCATAGGCGCAGACTTTTGATTTTGATAGGGAGTTTGAACGATGAAAAAAAATGGCAGGTGTTTTTATAATGTATAAAAATCTGGTGAGCGCAACACACAACTTTCACTTACTCTTTGAACTTTGAATAAAAATTATTTTCTGGCCATGTTAGGCTATTATAAAATGTTTTAAATTGCATTTTAAACTGAGCTAAAGCTAAAAAAACACAAATGCTATTAAAATAACAAAAGTCCTATTTATTATATCACCGGTTGATTATGAATTGCACGATTCATTGATTATGGATTGTTCGATCCATTGATTATGGATTGTACGACTATAAGTCATTAAACTGTTATTTTCCATTGCAAAATTTATTAAAACGGAATTAAGAGATTTGCAGTGTCTGTCATAAACAGGTCAAAAGTTGTCACACTAATTGTAAGTGGATTCTGTTGGAATATCGCAAAAAGAAGAATTATCAAACTATTCACTAATTTGATTTTCTAAAAGGTTACATGATGATTTTTCGGAATAAACGGACAATAGATATCTAAATATTTAAATATATTATGAGATCTAGAGTTATTAAACTACAGTAAATATATTTAGGGTTATAAACGTATCTATGAAATATTTTTGTATTTCACTTCTTTTTTCACACAAGTACAATGAAATGGTAGAGGAATATCACAAAGAGAAGATCTATCGAATTATTCACTAGACAATATTTTGGAATTAACTTTAATACCTAATTATTTATAGAGAAATACTTTATTAAAAGTAATGCTGCCCTACTACATAGGGTTGCTTCGTACACAGCATATTTATCAATCCATACGGACATTAATTTTATATTATATTTTTCTTTTTTTTTTCTCCCCCTTCATAACAATACTCTTACAAATTATCAACAATAAGCCATCTTAAACAATAGACATAGCATAATAAACACTTTAACAAAATAAAAAAAAATTCCTTTTTTCTCTTTAAATTCTCAAACGCCAGGAATATAACATCGCACATATATATAACACAGCAATTCCTTGAATGTAGCCAAAAAGATAAGATGATTATGGACCAATTTAAAATTTAATAGATAATTACTAAACTACAGTAAATGTATTTAATATTATAAACACATGATTTATACATCCATGAAATGATTTTATATTTTATTTCTTCTTTCACACAAGTACACTGAAATAGTTTTTTTAACAATGCCATCAGCTTGCTTAGGTGGATTTTAAATACATTTAAAAAAAATTAGCATTACTTTATTAACACATTCAAAATTCAAAAACCGAAACAAAGGATATAACCATTGCAGCAGAACGTATTAAAAAAAAACTAGAGACCATATCTTATCTCCTAATTATCCGATTTTAACGATTTTTTTTTTTGTTTTTTAGGCTATTCCATAAACTTTTAGAAAACCATATACAACATTCCCAAAAAAGTATATACTTTTTGAGTTATTCGGAATTTAATTTTACCATCCCTCGTAACTTTTTTTCAGCTTCTTTTCGCTGATGAATGTTATATAGATAAATTTGAAGGGTGTCGAGAAAATGACTTTAGCGAAGTTTCAATGAAATCGGTACATTCGTTTAGACGCTACAGTCTATAGCTACGTTTTTCTGCATTTTTATTTTTTTTCTCCTTTATTAACTTATCAAATTCTTTCAAAAGTTATATTTAGCATTTTTTCGTAACTCTGAATAATGCGAAATAATTATCTTTTTAAAATAAACCATATTAAAGGTACTTTAGAGGAAGACGTATATGAACATTGGGCATTTAAGCCCTGTAAAGTGACATCAATGGGGATAAGACCTAATTTATATTAAAGACCACTTAATTATACAATGATACACCGAGTTTAATCAAAATCGTTAGAGCCGTTTTTGAGAAAACTGTGAAAATGTGTTTCAGCGTTGATATAAAGTGGCACTTCCGGTTAGCCAATTTTAAGGAAAAAGTTGCCGTCACATCAAAGGCATATACCTATCTTAAATACGTGATATCAGTTTCATAGGACTTTTCGTTTTTGAGCTAGACTGCTAACATACAAACACACAGACACACAGACCATTTGTCGGGACTTGGTCATTTTGACTCAGGGTACCTCAAAACGTATAAATCCGTCGAAAACTCAGATTCAAAAATTTTCTCGATCGCAATACTTACACTTACTATATATTACATATATACGTAAGTGAAAGTAAAAATTTAACATAATTATTGTGGAACGAACAAATATAATATAGGATATTTAAAATTTATTTTTTTACATGTTTGTATACTTATAATGATTTTCATTTTATTTTTTACTTATTTTATATACTTGGAAATATTAAAAAAAAAAAAATACAATTGAATATGTAACATATTTTTTTAGATTAAACACAGGAGGGGGGAGAAACAGCCTCCATAACATTGGTGCATTTCTAGAAATTTGTCAGCTAAAAATGAATTCTGTAAAAAAGTAAAAAAATATTTTTTATTTCTTAGTGAGTACAACTTCACATAAAAATACATTTTTCATAGTCCGACTAGTTTGCCACGGAAAATGTGAATATATCACATGAAAATTGAGGAGTGATTGAATCATAAAATCCTAGGATACGGGATGTGCAGGATATCCCGTAAGTAGAAGGAAATATTTAAACAAGTAATAGTAGATCTCAAGAATATAAACTAAGTTCATATAAACAATGGTCCGATTTTCGATAGAATAGTAGGATATTTAAGTTTTGTATTTTTTAAGTGTCATGGTTTTTGATGCATAGGAAGCGATAACTAAAATAGTGGAAAAAAATATTTTATTTCAAGTCAATGTTTCGATCCGACTTTGTAGATCTTCTTCAGGGGGGTGCGTCCAGCAAGGAGTTTCAGTTAAAAACCTAGCTGAAACATTGGCTTGAAATAAAATAGTTTTCCACTATTTTGGTCTCTTTATGACCGCCACACTAGACCATCTCTTCCTCCGGACCTTCCTCAAATATACAACAGTCAACCATTACGTATTCAAAATATAATTTTTTATAGTTAATTAAAAATTGATTCACTGTAATCTTGACAACATTTACTTGAATATTACTTTAATTAAAAGTTCTGGTGTCTCAATCCTCAAATCTTCACCAGTATCACTATTTGACAATACATCTCCCTGACCATCCCTAATTTCTCACAAGATTGATCTCGTTGCCGCCTAAATTCCTTCTGCATTTTATCAATTGTGATAAAAACAAGTTTTGAACTGCTAAACACCATTATTGTAGAAGATGTAAGTCAGGAACAACAATCTAAGTTAGGAACATCATAAAGCGGACCCTACACGGTAATTCATGAATGAATGTCACAAGAATGGCAAAGATTGCTCGGGATCGCTTTGATCATGAAGACCCCTACACGTTCAATCATTACTGATCATTACTTATAGTTGCTGACACCAATTTAGCTCAGTTGTAAACAAAGAAACAGCATAGATATGCTTATTTGGACATTGTCATTTATAATATTGGGCATCAAGTGAAAAATAGAGATATAATAATTACTTCCTAGTGCCTGAAAATCGTTTAGAGCAAAGTTAGAAAAATATAATTCAACTACATACAAAAATCTAGGAAAAGTATTGTGAAAATAATCAATTTGTTAAGAAAAATGGAAAAATTAATGACAAATAAACACAACAGTTAAAGATTTTTTTTCTATAAGTAAATTGTGAAGTTTCCACTTTTTTTTCTCTTCAATTTATTACCTACTTGACTATTTAAAGAAAAAATAGTTAATAAAAATATAGACTAGGGATATAAACAACTATTTACTTTTATGAAATTATTTACTTAAAAACGAGACCTAGGTAAACTAACCTATCTAGTAGTAAGGTTAGTCTCATAGAAAATCGTTTTGACAAAAGTTAGTAAAATATAAGTCTACTACTTACAAAAATTAAGGAAAGGTATTGCGAAAATAATAAATTTGTTGAGGAAAATGAGAAAAGAACTGACAAATATACACAACATTAAAGTTTTTTTTTTCTTAGAGTAAATTGTGAAGTTTCCACATTTTTTTTTTTTTTTGATTTGTTGCCCACTGGACTATTTAAAAGAAATAGTTGAAGATGGTTTAAAAATATAAACAAGGGATATGAAAAATTATGTAACTATTTACTTATAATGAAAATCAGAAATTTATAATGGTTGTGAGGCCTAGGTAACCTAACCTATCGGGTAGTATGGTTAGTCTCCCCACTACTTTTACCTCAGTTCCCCCTCCACTTCTCGTGAATGAACCTTTGATTTCCGGACGTTCAGAAATCTGCAACACACCATCATCAGTACTTCATTCCCTACCTTACACGATAATTCGGAATGTCATTAGTGCCTCGGAATGCAATTCCGATTGACCGTGTAGGGTCCGCTTATATGTTGGATCACACCCGACCAATGCAACGGTCGAGTGAACTTGAGAGGTGAATGAACTAAAGATGGCACTTGCTTCATTTCATGTTAGCTTCTCAAAGCTATTTAGGATTGTGTGGAAGATACATAGAGTCAGCCCTGTGGCCTTGGAGGAAGCGGCAGACGAGATATGTGCATTCATCTGTTAGGCGGGTCAGATTTGACCCGAACGTTTATAGAAGAGGCTTAGTTAATTTTATATTATATTGTATTTTGGCTGAATATACATGAAAATATAACTACTTACTTCCTCCATCAACCCTAATATTTTCATAAATCTCCTTTTTTTTATTTCCTCGCTATCTGTTTCGGATTCTTTCTCATATTCTACACACACGTCCTTCATGAGCTTAAACTGTTTGTTGTAGTTATCATAATCAGGCTCTGATAATGTGCTTTTGTTTTCTTCGATCCAAACAGGATACTAAAAGTAAATAAATTAAATAATATAAAAATTAAAATAAATAATGAGACAATTATAGATTGATAATGCAATTTAAAAATAATGAAAAATCACTAAACATTTATTTTAGATAGATAGATAGATAGATAGAAAAATAACTTTATTCTGGGACACAGTCCCTTGAGAATAAGAAAATAGAACAAAATTAAAAGATTATATCTGGCCAAAATAAAATCAATCGAAAAAAAAGAAATAATGTAAAGAAAATATAAGGTAAACATTCTATATACAAAACAAACGAAACTATATACAAAACAATTAATACTATGACAAGACACTTAAAGCTATTTGCACTGATAGACCAGTATACACTTTCAAGAAAATAATAAAGAATTAAAAAATATATCAAATTCTCTATTAAAATCAGCTTTGTGTTTCTGTTGAGAAAACAGAAAGCTGAATCTGACAATATAACGTGCCTGATTAATGTATAAATACACTATTATTTAGCATTGATATTTGACAATGAATGGCATGAAATAAATGTATGTTGTCGAATGGTTAGCAACTATCTGACTGTTTTTGGGATAGGAATTGGAATAGGAGGGATTTGAATGTGGATATGGATGGGGAATATCGAATTTTGATAGGGAGGGAATTCCAGAAACTGACAGAGCGAACAATAAAGGAGTTTTGGAATGAGGCAGATCTGTAAGAAGGAATGTAAAGGTTAGAAGGTCGAGATCTTGTGGACAGGGAATGGACTGAGGATTTGAACTGGAGAAGGTTTTAGGCGTAAGGACAATGGTATGGATTTTATGGAGATAAAGATGGACGATTTTAATAAAAATTCTGCAAATTATTTCACTAATGCTGTAAAAATTTTATAAAATTTAATTGGTCCGTGCGAATAATTCTAATAGTATATTGGTCAGTAAACAAATGACAATATAATATATAAATATGAAAAGAAATTGGGCCCGGATGCGATCAAATAAACACTATAAACTAGAATAGCATTTTATTTCCCCAGACGTTTCAACCCACATGGTCTTCATGGTATCAGGCACTGCAGGAAGCAGTAGATAAGACTCTAAGTAGATAAGAAAGAAGAGACAACCTAAGAAGCAGTAGTCTACCTACACACTCGACCAACTCCTTCTCATATCATAATCACAGCCAACCATCTCTACACTATTATGAAAATAAATGTTATATATTATGAATGAATTCATTTTCATTCAAAATCTATCCTAACTGTTTGACACGTTAACACATTAAGTGTACAAGGTGGCTACCAGACAGTTAAAGTAAAATTCCCTGACTTTTCCCTATTTAATGATAATTTTCTCTGACCAATATGTCTGGGGACACAAATATTAAAAATTTATAACTAAATGTATTAATTATACATGAAAGAAAATTGATTACAAAATAATTTAAATTAAAAAAAAACAGCAGTATTTAAAATAACAAATATAATGTTTTAGAAAATTAAGGAAAGGTATTGCGAAAATAATAAATTTGTTGAGGAAAATGAGAAAAGAACTGACAAATATACACAACGTTAAAGTTTTTTTTTTTCTTAGAGTAAATTGTGAAGTACCCCATATTTTTTTTTTTTTTTTTTGTTGCCCACTTGACTATTTAAAAGAAATAGTTGAAGATGGTTTAAAAATATAAACAAGGGATATGAAAAATTATTTTTTAAAAAAGCATTTTTTAAGTCTGATTAGGATTTTTTATTAGTAATTTATTTTTATCGCTTATAATTAATATTCATTAACTGGGAGGAGGTAAAAGTTGATACTTGACATATAAAACTCAGATTTTCTCTATTATAAAATAAAGTATGCTACAGGGACATCTAATAATAATGTAGTTTCTCTTAAGCAATTTGGTATCTTTATTACTATAAACAGATAAATAATTATCCTGTATATAAGTGTGAATGTGTTTTAAATATTTAAATTTCATTTAGCTTCTATTTGTTTTTATTCATTTTTTTATTTTTTACCTATGTATGTCAATTTTCTTATTTTACTTTCCTCAACTCTTTTTCTTTTATCACTATTTTAGTTATCATTTGTATACATACATTGTATGAATGATTAATGTAGCCTAATATTAATGCCCTCCAATGAGGCAGAATTTATTAATTTTCAAATTAAAAAAAAAAAAAAAAATAATTATCCATATGTCACCAATTGTGATATTTCTGGTTAATAAATGCTCTTTTAAGGAGCACCACAGTTCGAATGAATGAGTGCTTGCCTGATCTCGAAATAGTAAATAGTATTGGTATTATTTTTCTTTTTTCAAAAAATCACTGTTTTAAGTCCATTTTGTTTATTATATTTTATTCATTGCCCTTGTTTGATTTCAATAAAACGACCAGTGCCGTTATTGAAAGTTAAAGATGGATGAATATAGTGGCTGTGGTCATTATATTGAAATATAACGACGAAGTTTACACCTTCAAGATCCTTATAAACGAAATCCACTGTATATGTATTTTCAATTTGAAAAAATATTTACCTACTAAAAAAATTTTCTAATTTTAATAATTTTTCCCTGACTTCTCCTTGAATTTTTTTTTTTGTTTTGTTTTGTTTTCCAGGTTGGCCGCTACCCTGGTTTATCACGTCAATACCCTTACAGTCCATCCATTCTCAGCATTTATAATGTTACTATCCATATTAGGCATTATCAACACAAAAATAAAAGATATAATAAAATTTAAAAACAAAGATATAAGAATTACTGACCTTTTCAGTAATATCTTTCAATGAAGGATAAAGAACATCTTTAGACAAAAATGACTGCATCATGGACTGCATGAAAGGCATAATATCTGAGCCACCACTCGCTTCAGAACCCATGCCTAAGCTTCCCATCATGGCTGCCAAAGCCTCTTGTCCCAGCTCTGACTATAACAAAAATAAAAAAAATGGTTTAATTAGTAGGCATAATTAAAGAATGATTATTTAAATAAAATATAATTATTTTGAAAAGATTATCCATTTTTTAAACTTCAAAATTCGTTAATTATCTAATAGATAATATTTCTATGAAGTAAACATTATAGAGAAACTGATTCGATTGATTAAATTGACCATATCAGAATCCATGTATGTAGTGTGTGTACAGGAAATTTCAGAGGCGAGTAACGGGATGAACAGTGAGAGACGGGGATATGCGTTGACGTGTCTACTCTTCAACATTGCATTGAAGAAAGTATCGCGGGATTCACAAATCTAAACGAAAGGCAGGGCGTTTAATAGACTGGTTCAAATCCTTGGTTATGCAGATGATTTTGATATTATCAGAAGAATTTCAGATTGCAGTTGATGAGATCTTCATTGCTCTATAAACAGCTGAATAGGACTACCTATAAATGCAGTGAAAACCCAAGTATATAAGCTTGAAGTCTAGCACATTGGCAGATACTGTTCAGTTTGGTCAATATAATTTTGAACAAGTGGATGAATTTGTCTACCAAGAGCCTCTGATAACTGCAGGCAATGACATCTCAAAGGAAATTGAGAGAAGAAACGTCATTGTTAATAATGTTACTTTTGGATAGGAAGAGATGTAAGAAGCAAATATCATTCAAGGACAACAAAATATCATGGTCGGATGAGGGAAGTTTACAGGCCTTTGAGAGAAGAATTCTGCAGCACATTTACAGACCTAGAAGAGTCGATTAAACATTCCTCAGGATGGATAATTAAGAAATATATGATCTCCTCGGTGAACGTGCTTTTCTGAACCATATAAGCCTGAGAAGATTGAGAGGGCCTGGTCATGAAACTTGTTTGTCAGAGGATGAGATCCTTTTATTATTTTGTTATATTACTTTTATTATTATCATTATACAGTTAAATTAAGGTTTAAGTGACCTAAAATCAAACCGGTATTTCTACTTTATCTGGCAACAGTGCAGTTTAAGATAATATGGCAATAGGCATACTTGTTTATCATAGCTCACTTAACCTATAATATAACAATATAATGATAAAAGAAATATTATAAGTTATAATTTAAATTAGACAATAATTCACATATTAGACAAATTCTCAAAATGTGACGAGCTTAGATTTTATTAAATTTAGACTTGAAAATAGACAGCTTAGTCCAAAACTTCATCTAATAACAAGTTTTGTAGTTTGAAAGATGAATTTTTTCCAGCAATAAGCATATTAATAATATAATAAAATTAAAAATTTGTATCACCTGCATTTTTTCCGTATTTTCGGAAAGATTCCTAAGGGTTTGAGCAATAGTAGCTGAAAATTCCGGATCCCTTGATTGCTCTGTAAGTACTTTATTCGCTTCATCAGCCATTTTACGAAGTTGTTCTTCAAAATTTTCAGCATTGAAGTTAGCACCAGCTTCACCTTAATTAAATGTTCCCATTGTATAATTTGAAAACTTAACTTTTTTATATTTAAAATATATTTATTGAAATCTATGGAGTAAATTTTATAAATAATAAAAAATCTGATGCAGTACAAAACTCTCACTTACCATTGTATTACCTGGGCCAACAATTAATAAACCTTAAGAATATTACTTTAATAATAAATGAGTCTGTTCCAACAAGGCCCACTTGCATGCCCTGAATCTGAGACATAGAGTTAAATTCTTGGCTCGATGCAGTCAACTTTTCAGGGCATGTAGTAATAGTCCATGTAGTAATAGTAATAGACATGCGCAAACGTTCTCACCCAAATTAAAGAAGTGGAATTTCATAATACAACAGTGACCCCAACTGTCAAAAATGATTAAGTGTGAAGTGAAGCCGAAATCTGCTAAAAACTAGAATGGAGGTATGTAATTATTAATTTTTCTTTTCAAAATTAAATTTTCATTTAAATTAATAATTGTTGAAATCGGTTTTTCAAATTTGTTATGAAGTTTGTAGTGATTATATATTGTTGACAAAAGTACTTAACAAAAGTATACAAGTTAGCTTCCCTATAGAAAGAACCTATTGTTCGAATCTCCCAGAAGAAATATTTTAATTGATAGTGACATGGGGCCATCAAAATAGAATAACACTTAAGGACACAATTAACTCATCCTTCCACGCCCCCTCCATTGACACTTTACAACACCCCTTTGCCAAATCATACTGAGACAAAATATCTAGGACTCACAATGGACAGACGACTGACCTGGAAATCACACGTGACTACATTAAAAAAGAGATTGAACCATCGGTTATCACTACTAAGACGAATGCTACACCATAAAAACAAACTATCACTTTCTAACAAAATTACTATATACAACATGCTACTCAGACCAATATGGACGTATGCCTCTCAGGTGTGGGGTTCATGCAAAAAAACACACTTACAGACTATTCAAATTTTCCAATCTAAATTTCTCCGGTATATCACTCATTGTCCCTTCTACATAACCAATAAATCACTTCATAAAGACCTACAAATATCACAAGTGACTGATATAATTAAAAAATATTATAAAAGTGTTCATGACTCCTTAGCTGGACATCCTAATCCACTTGTACAAACATTACTAACAGACACACTACCACAGAATCCACCAAGGAGACTCAAGCGCCTCTGGAGCAGAGATCTGCTGCGTCAGGAGTCACGTTAGGAGTGCCTTCACTGGGAGGCTTCTCCAATCACGTATTCACGCTAATCCCGGAGAGGAGGTTCGCTAACGAACATCACATTTACAAAATATGCCAAAAGGCATTTGTAAAATTGCTCAATAAATAAATTTATTATTATTTATTATTATATTATTCCACGCCCCTTTAGGAGGTGGCCAGTTTAAATAATTTCAGGTAAAAGACCGACAGAAGTATAAGACCAATCAGGAGCAACCTCTACACAATTACTGGGAGCTGAAAATCAATCACAACTATCTTTACCCTACCATAAATTATTCAATAAATTCAAGTTGAGAAAGGGTCTTAGGTCTATTTTGCTTTTGGAGTGACTGAGAGTGCAGCTTGATGTTCACAAACCCTGAGAGATGGACTTCTCCGGACTTGGAGCCTCGCACCCCTTGGCTTTACCAGATGACCTGATGCAATGATGGCAAACCGAAGCCTGAACTACCAAAGATGATTAACCATATCATACCATATCGAGCGTCAGCTAAGTTTAATTCCCAAATAATAGTATCTTAATGCCAAAATATTTTATGGAACTATCTCAAACCAGTCTATCTGAATAATATCTTCATTTAGAGTTCTTATTAAATATATGGAATCATGTTTTTATTAAGGTTATTGTAAATATAATTTTTGCGTTAATATCTTCATAATAGTTTGTATATTCATGTTTCTGTACATCCATATTTTTATACCATTTGTTTAGTCACATTCCAGATTCAGTCTTTATTGAACATATGAATAAATCGAGTTTTTTTAGTGAGGTTATTTTTAATTCTGCCACCTATTCATATCATTATTATCACAGGTAATGATGGTAATTAGAAAGCATGATAAACACAAACCAGCCTTTGAGAAAATAAATCCCATTAATTGATCCTGGACCATTCAGTATATTATAGATTTAAATTTCTTTTACTTTTTTTATTATTAATTTATATTAAATGTTTCTGAATAATTATCCAGTAAAATCCCGAATAACGTTCCCGAACACAGCATTATTAGCTCTCTTTAAAATATTACTGAAAACATAGCATAATATTTAATATAATAATGATATATATAATACATAATTGGAAAGTTAAAATTTTTAGAAATATTAGAATTCAATGCATAAAGTCATAGAAGGTAATGAATAATATAAATGCTGTAACATATGAAAAAACAATACTGGCATGTTGTTTGGAGTTTTCTAGGAAATGCAAATTCAAGGAATTTCTTTCTTTTACTGACAATATATTATTATGCAAACACTCATAGAAGATAGTGGAGCATTATTGCATAAAATGTATTAATAAATTTTATAATCTTTCACAAAAGTGTCAGATCAAGAGCAAATTAAGATTGAATCTAATGTTTTATTTTTCCCCCCATCCTCCAATTATGTTTTCAAAATATTTATATATACAAATATAGTAAGATAATAACATAATGTTATAATATGATAACATAATCTTGTAATATAAGTAAAAACCATGTTAGTTTCAACTTAGTGGTGCTCGGAAACGTCTCCAGTCTGACAACTTTCAGCGCATGAGCTCATTTTACTTTCCATACTTATAACATGTACAATGAAACATCAAGACTTAAAAATAAGATTAAACATCAGCAAAATCCAATAAAAGAATGAAATACTTAAATGACATATGAAATATAAAAAGCTGATTAAATATTTCACAAAAATACAGGCAACCATAATATATTGATCTCTTGCCCAGGAAATTTTTAAATGAATGGAACAAAAATGATCACAGTTGAAAGAATATCTGAGATGATGGATTAGCAATTGATTAAATCATATCATAATCAAGAACAGATATAAATATCTGACAAAGAACAGTATTCTAAAAATTGAAGACATTTAAAAACAGACAACAGTACAACCCTCACTTAAATTCCTTAAAATATTTAAGGTAGTAAATGTAAAAATATTAAAATCAATAAAGAATTTCTTCTTAAACTACAAAAAACAATTGAAATTTAATAACAATTGTGATTCAAAACTAACTCTTAACTAATAAAACTTGTTCTGGTCGGATGATTACAATACCTTGCCTTGAAAATATAAGGCTGTATAATAATTTAATTTTAAAACTGACCTTGACCAAAAAGATCCTTCATATTTTTCTCAAAATGCTTTTGCGCTTCCAATAAAAATTCATCATTCCAGGAAGGGTCATCAGTCTTATCTTTAATTGTTTCCACATTAGTGTTATGAACTAATTCTTTGGTATCTTTAGGTTTATTAAAATCTTCTAATGCGCCTAATGAAAAAAATAAATAAATGTATTCAATAAAGTCTAATATAAAAACATTGATGTGTAAATGTGTATTTCTACATACTATTTAGCAATTCTTCCAATTCTTCATCTTTTACATTATTATCACTGTTTGTATTAGAAACAGACTCAGCCATGATTAGATTATAATAGGATAATTAAAATTTAAAAAATATATCAAAATTAAAAAAAAAATAAATTAACAAGCCATCAATAATAAATTTATGTTAATTTCTAAATCACAAAGAAAAAAACAAAACTCATCCAACAGGACCGGTAAAGAAATAATGAGTGATCAAAAATTAAAAGTTTACCAAAGAAATAGTTACAGCCAAAGATATAGGCCTGAATGAAAGATGCATACATTTACCTGTAAATTATACTTTTACTTTTATCTCAATTTACATAATATTTGTTCTAATGAACAATATATATGAGATACTAAATATAGAACCGAATTACATTAAGAGAAATGTTTATTTAATAAATATCCTTATTGCCAAATGTTGATGAAAATTAAGGATGGACGCTTTTAAATATTTATATATAATGAAATTATCTCGGAAATGGAAAAAAAACTCCATCTAATCTATACTAATCGAAGCAATCTACTAACATATCTAATTAAACATATTAGTAGATTGTCAGTTAAATAGACGTCTTTGACTTCAAACAAAACTCAAGACTTCGCAAAATACATTAACATCCTTTTAGTTTATGTACATGCACAGATGTAAGGAGTTTGCTGTAAGTTAATATGTATAAATACATGAAATGGAAAGTGGGGTGGACTGCGCTCCAAGTTTCAGTCTTCTTAGACGTCAACACGGATAGTATTATGAAATTGGTTTATTTCCGTAGTCGGGATTTTTTCTCGTAATTTCTTTTTGTCTCGGCGTTTTTAGTTTTTAAATATTAGCTATATATGAACGAAACCGTGATCAGTGCCCAAGGTATGATATGAAAATAATTTCTGGAGACTGTAATGCGAAAATAGTGAAAGAGGTATACATCCCAACCATAGGCAAACAATCTGCATGACCTATGTAATGATAATGGAACCAGGCTTATTAATTTTGTGGAAGTACTCTATTTGCAAACAAGGATATTCATAAAGGCACCTGTACACCACCAGATAGGGAACACCTTAATCAAATAGATTATATCATTGTCGATAAAAGGCACGAATACAGCCTCCAAAACTTGAGAACATTTCGTAGCGCCAATGTGGATTCCGACCACTTTTTGTGCATTGCCCACATTATTCCTAGGTCTCCCTCAAAAGGTCTGGAGGCCCAGCTATAAAACCTAAGCTCTATAACATTGGAAAGCTGCAGGAGCCAGATGCCAAAGAGCTGTACACCGAGCAACTAGATGAGAATCTCCGTGCTCGTGCTGTAAAGACGGAAAACATAGAACACCTCTGGTCCAGCTGTGTGACCCTCATCGGGCAAACTCAGCCTCTATAAATTATTCTTTATTGAATAATTAATCAAGGGGGAAAACCTGGCTGTTGAGCGTGATATCGGCCCGTCACATAATACTGTTACAAGCCAACGGTTGGGCTTGTAACAGTACTTCCTCACATTTTACTAAACCCATAACACTTTATGGGTTGTTAGTGGTACAGGTTTCTATATATATAAATGCCCTCTCAACAAATTTTAATTAAAAACAACTGAATTGACGTTTTTACGGCTCAGGTATTAAGGAAAATACTATTTTCAATAAAGTTATAGACCTAATATTCGGAATAATAATATTAAATTATGTGTTTCTGGTGAATTTACTGTAGGAATTACTTTTGATATTTGTATAAAAAACTATTTTATTACATTTGTTAATATTATAATAAATAAGGATACTTTTTTATAATTTTTTTTTAGAAAATAATCGTGAACGAAGTACATATTGAAGAAAAACAAATCAATGCAATCCCTACTTCCTCATTTATTTTTTGTTAAGTGTATGTCGACTTCCTTGGATCAGTATGGTGTACCTACTTGTTACCTTCCCTCTTATAATCACGTGTTTATCTGCCAATTTATTTGAAATGCATATTAATTAAATATTATAAACTTTTGTAAAGAAAAAATACAGCTAGTTTTACTCTCTTCATATATAATACTTAAAACTTTTATTTTGTCGTTTTATCAGGAAAATTAGTTTTTAAAAGTGAGAGTGGTGTTATTTTAGTGAGTTAGGCTTTTAAGATTGTAGCTCTTAAATTTTATTTTAAGCAATGGCTGTTAATGCTAAAAATGTCAAATTTCAAGAAGAAGAAGAAGGATTTTCTGATGAAGAAGTGTCGGAAGATGTTCATCAGGAGTTAGTTAATGCTGTGGCAAACTTGTACCCAGGAAAAAAAAGGTAAAATATATTGTTTAAATTAAAATGACTCAACGATTTTGGCTGACTTGTTACATTGATATAAATTTAAATAGTCTTTAATATCAGTTAGATGTTATCCTCATTGAAATAGTTTTACAGGGCTAATGCCGAATTTTCAAAATTTCTTTCTTTAAAGTAGGTACCCTTAATATTCATTATTAAGTATAATTGAAGATCTGTTATTGTTAATAGTATATTCCATTTCTTGATATGGATAAGGTTATAGAATTAATGATATTTCTCTATTCGCTTATTTTTTCATAATTAATTTATATTTTATATATTATTGAATGACAAATAAATGTTTCCAGGGAAGATAGATAAAATTTCCATTGGAAAATAAATATTCTTAAAGTTTATTAACTTCATAAAAGACATAAATTAACTAAAAAAACTTTTATCTTAAGGCCCATCAGCTATTATCATCTGTATACCACTTTCCAACTATTTATTCACTTAACGTTTCAGATTATTTACCCATTTCCAAAAGCTTTTAACTTCCAAGTTTTTAACTAAAAGTTTTTATTCCATTATATATTTGTTTTTTTATTGAAAATCTTGATATATTATATTATGTATTATGTTTTGTATCCATCCTTTAGTTATAATTTTAATTTGTCTCATAATTAAATTTTTTTGTGATGTACATAACTAGTCTGTGGAAAGATTCTTTTGAGATTTTTCACTGGAAATATGTTTCAAGGTTTCCCAAGTTCAAAAAATCAAGTTCCATAAGGTCTTTGTGTGCATGCATGCATATGTCACATTAATATTTCAGTTCATGTTCATTCTTTCACTTATTTTATTTCAGGATTGATCCAGCAAAATTTTATGAACCAGCTCAAAATGTAACAGAATTTAAGATAGCTACAGATTTAGAAGAACAGACCGATGATAAACTGACCGTAGTTGATTTAGCTGGTGCTGATGAACGGCTCAGTCGTCGATATACTGCTAACAAAATTCGAAATAGTCTAAAAACCTCTAAGAAATTACCCAAACCTTTAGAAAGAATAGAAGAGCAAAAGGTATGTATATCACATTTTCATTTTATTGTAATATTCCAGATTATAAAAGCAGACCAGAAATTGTACATTTTATACCAATTATTCACCCTTTCGACAGGCTTATGTAGGATACTAATACTCATACTAGGATAGGAGTTATACATATAATACTAATATATGTAATAGAACAATAATTGGCCCGGCCCATGTACGTAACAAATTACAGTTATGATTAACATCACTGTTTACAAGATTTTTTTTTTTAGCATAAATTATGAATTAAAGAAAATCAATATTATACAGTGTTATATAATATTATAAGATAACAATAATGTAATATAACTATTATGCTGGCCATTTCAACCAAATAAAAAATAAAAATAAGCATATTTTAAGACAAATATACAAACATATCGGTCATGTATCCGAGAGATACTTGCGCCTGCTAGAAGGGTTAAAAAAGCCTAACCAAAAAATTTTTCATCCCAAGAGAATTCAAGGCATATTATAGTACTATTATATATGTTGAAATAAGATCATACCTGTTGCAAGATATAATCTCTGGTTTTCATTTATCTGATATTATTTTTTTCTTCCTTTATTATTTATTACTTTTAGAATTCATTATGACCGTGCAGATGTTGTTCATGTGAATAACAGCATGTTTGAAATTTTCATTTGGTTTTTCATGCTTGACTTGTTAAAGGTATTCCTTTCATCAACTTAGGTTTTTCTGTTTTTGATTCGAGAGTTGACTCCATTATGTAAGATGTGATACATGTCAAGTTCAAATATGTTTATACATTTTTTTTTTTTTTTCCCCTACGTGGTAACCGCACACAAGGATCGTTTATTTGATTTTCCTTCATGCTCCATGCCTTAAAGACATACTACATGAATTACATTTGTTTACAATTGTTTTTTTTTCTAGTTTCACATGATATACATTTTTAGTTCAAATTTATATACATTAACAAACAAAAGTACAAAGAATAAACACACAAAAATTAAATCGGAAAATTAAATATTAAACACACAAAGTCAATCCAACAAAGCCAAAAAGAAATCACCCACGCTGCCCATCCCTGGTTAGTAAGTCGAAGTCGATCGATCTAATAAATCTAAGAAAGTCTGTCTTGAATTCAGTAAATAACTTTTGTTCCGTCTCAGGCCAATTTCCTCTTTTGATAATTATGCTTTTTATTAACTCAAATCGCTGTCTGTCAAATCGTTTACATTCATATATTATATGTTTAAAATTTTGAACCTGTCCGTCTTCATCGCATAAGTTTGTTTGTATAATGTTGAATCTTTTAAGATATTGTTTTGTATTCGCATGTTCCTAAGTACTTGTTTATACATGTCACAAAAAATATATATAATAATAAAAAAACCTTGCAAATTATTCCATAACGGTTCATTATTTCCTAACAGTTATATATCAAATGTAATATTTCTTTCCCTGTCACATAAAGGAAAATAAATAAAAAGTGATACCTAATATGGGACTAAATAAGTTTTCTTTTTCATCATTAGTAATTTAGTGAGAAAAATAAACAAAAATCCTTCTTGAGTTCTTCTTTTCGGTGAAGTTTGTTACACACATAAATTTAAAAGGCATCAAGAAGAAAACTTTAGCTGAGTTTCATTGATATTGGTACAGTTCAGGTGTTATAGTCTACATCTATTTGACCTATTTAAGGCAGGCAATGAAAATATTGTAATTCTTTCTAGTAAACTTTACAATGGAAAATAACAGTTTAATAACCAATAGTCGTACAATCCATAATCATTTATAGGTTGAATATAGAATTATACTTTCAAATCTCTCTAGGCATATGTATATATAGGTTGAATCATTTATATATATATTGCTGGAGTTATGTGGTTTAAAAAAGGAGACGGAGTACCAAAGTTTTTTATTGTCTGCCTTTGATATAATTAATAGGGTTTTTGTTATTTTAATGGCGTTAATGATTTGTTAGCTGTTAACTTTAAAGCTATAGCTCCGTTAAAAGTGCACTTAATTGCTCAACGTTGCCAGAAAATAATTTCTGTGCAAAATAGAAAGGTAAGTAAAAGTTGTATATTGTGAGCTCCAGATTTTCTTTTTATTAAATGTTAGTTCTAACTTAGTGTTCCATGAATTCGCTCTTATGCTGCCAGCTAATCATGTATGAGTTATAGCTTAATGTATTATTTTTTAATAATATTAATATTTTACTTTTGATTAATTTATGTATTGATTGTCATAGATTGAAAGAGAACTTGGATATGACAAGGTTAAAAAGCAACTTAATAAGTGGTCATCAATCGTGGAAAGAAATAAACTTGCTTCACAGTTAGTTTTTCCTCTTCCATCCACCCAGAAAATTAATGAGAAAAGCAATACCTATAGTTTTTTGACAACATTTAAGGTAAGCAACATTCAATATTTTGTATTTGTAAAATCATTTTAATAAGTTTTAATTGTATGTATTGTTAAGTTTTTTGTTGTAAACTCTATCATATTCTTTATTGGTACAATGCGGGTCATGGAGATTATCTGCATTATAAGGATACACACAACATAATGTGGTGTAATAAAATGGATTATTGAAAGAAAATATTGTAGATTAGTAATAATAATACATCAGTATACATATAATAATAATACATGAGTAATAATATTGTATATCCCGTATTCACTTTGATACTATAATCTTTTTTTTTTTCACCTTTATAAGTTAGTTTAATGTAAGCAACTTGCAAAAATGTTATTGGCTTAATAGATATTTATGTCCCTCCATCCAAGCCAGTAAGAAGTCGATTACAGAAAATGCTTTTTCCGCTGATAGACTTTGTGTTAACTTCTAGTTTCTGCCTTTTCCCTTAGAACTCCAAAGGTCGCACTGGATCTGAAAGATTCCCTGAGCAGTCTCTGATGTGTTTTTATACCGCTTGGAAGAGGAAGACCCTCCCTCCACGTATTATGGTTCTTGGAGTCTTATAATCCGGTAGTGGAGTGAGCTGTGTTACGTCCAATTATTGTGCCAAAACTTGATGTTTGATGTATGTGGAAATTTTTCACGGGAAAGGAGTACAATGGCAACTGATATAATTGAAATCAAATCCTTTATCAGGTTGTTATATATTGCATGAATGCATCGAGCCGTGAAAAAAAAAAAATCTGAATTATTTATGGGACTCAAGTGGCAAGGTTGATTCCAAGTTAGGAATCGAAATATTGAAGCCCACTATGAGTTTACGAATGTTTTAATTTTTCCTTCGATCTCTAAGATTTGACGACCCAGAAACACGTCAATAATGTAAAAAATTAGACCGACTGGTACTTGTCCGGGACATATTTGAAGTTAGTCAGAAACTGCCAATCTTGTTATTCAGTTGGAGCAGACGTGACTGTCGATGAGAACTTTGAAGCCTTTAGAGGCTGATGTTCATGTTGTGATGATGTTTTTATTAATTATTCTTGTTTCCAACTTAATCCTATTATAATTGTTCTTAGTATTCAGTGATTTTTGTGTTCCTATTTAATGGTATACAGAATCTAATGTTTAAGTTCCTAATTTTGTCAAAGTATTTCTCGTTTTGATTCTTAATATTTTTTAAAATTATGTAAGTGATTTTTTTACTCAGTAAATATATTTAAAAACTCATCTTATATCTCTTTCTTTTAGTACAATGAGAAAGGTGTTGGTATTTTTTATCAATAAATTGATTTAGTGAACTGGATCTCTCAGACTCTCTCAGGCTAGTGATCTTCAGAGTGTTAAAGAGACTGATAATTGGAATGATATTTTTAATGAAACATTAAATAAATATAATTTTACAGTTGATTAAAAAACAATTGAATCAAATAAATGTATCACCATTAGAAAAATTAAAATTATAATAAAGTTATGAATAGAAATTGCTATCACTACAAACAAAATTTACTAATTAATGTTTAAAGTTACAAGTTCAATTATATCACAACAAAGTTATAGATATAACAATAAAATAACAAATTTTATTTATGAACTAGCTGATGCACCCGTCGTTTTTTTGAGATGGATTTTGTATTATTGGGTGAGGGGGAGGGGTTGAAATTAAAATTGGGTCGGGAGAGAGGAGGGGAGTTGTTTTGAATTTTTTTATGGCGGGGCTTATGGAAGTCAAGGTTTCGCAATAGTCATAACAAAAACTCTGTTATTCAGCTATTTTTTTAGGTATCACACAATTAAATCGACCCACCACCAATCCATTAAAATTAGTTAAGTGTTTAATTTTCAGTTATGATGAAGCGAGGAGATTGTGGAGTCGATTGAAATAATCAAAAAGAGTTATAGTCTCTCCACTTTTTCAAACTCTGAGTTTATCGCTGGCAAAATAACATTGGACATTGAGTCACCTACACCCGTGTAAAATTAGAACTTAATCTGGATATTGTGGTGGGGGGAGGAGGTGAATTTTCGGCTAATCCGTTAATCCTAAAAATTTGTTGAATCGAATGACACCTTGAACGGGAAGATCGGGCAAAGTTGAAAAATGAATGTGTTTTATGCGACAACGCATTGCAGATGTTCAGTATTCTGGCTTTTTCATGTTGAGTTGTGATAATTTTTCCATCACTTGAGTAGTACAACTTTTAAATGTGGCTCGCGATAGAGCAGGTTGGGATGGGGATAGAAGTAACTGCCTAACCCTGGATCTCTAGACAAATTACTCAAGAATTCATAACTTTGGTTCTACTCAATATTTCTTTTCATTTAAAGCCTATGTTTTAAGCCAAGCAAACCAAAATATAAAAACAAAGTTTCAAAAGTCGGACATCCAGACACACAAAAAATTTCTGAAAAGTGGATTTGGTATCTGTAATGTGTAAAACAGAAAGATATCATGAACTGCCTTGATTCTATTCAATATACAGACAAAACCTTTATTTTATTTATATAGATGTTCTTAACCTACAAACATATGTTTATTATTAACATTTACTATCAACATTAACCGAGATCTTTAAACAATTTACTCAATAATTCATAACTTTGGTTTTACTCAATATTTTGTTTTCATTTAAAGCCTATGTTTTCAGTCAAGCAAACCTTAATATAATGTCAAATTTTCAAAAGTGTACTATAAGCCATTGCTGAGCTTACCTCTGACAAAATTTCATTTCAACCCGGACATACAGACAGACAAAAAATTTTTTAAAAGTGGATTTGGTGTCTGTAATGTATGAAATGGAAATATATCATAAAATGGGTTGATTCTATTCAATGTACAGACAAAATCTTTATTTTATTTATATAGATTAAGACGGTTAAGAGAGAGAGTGAGAGAGTTTGATTTTGTATTTTTGTTTGTATGTATATAAGAATATAAGTATTTCAATTTTGATATTATATTTTATTCTTTTAATGTTATTATCAGGAACCTACAGAATTAGAGAAAGAAATGGCGAAGGTTCTAGATCAGAGTGCTATCGCACAAAAGGAAAGGAAAGAGGTATTATTTCTTTTACTTATTTCAATAGTGCTAGTAATAATAAAATTAATTTAATTTAATGGTTGCATTTGCTATAAATGAAATATTTTTACAAGAAAAACATTCTATTAAAGATAACTTATTCATTAACCTTCTGTTTTTAGGAGGAAAAGCTTAGTAAATTGACAATAGAAGAAATGATAGAAAGAAGGAATATGACTGCGAAAATGAGAGCTCGAGAATCCTACCGTATTTCAAAGGCAATCAGGCAGAACAAAATTAAAAGCAAAAAGTAATGTACAATTTTGTTTCTTTTATTTCAAGAACAATTAAATACTGTTATAATTATTTTCATTCTCTGGTTTTCCCCGTCAGGAATCAGAAAAATTTTTCCTTCTTACTTTTTTTATGGCTTTGTTGTGATAATTTAACATTGATGTTCAATATTTTTTTGATATTGCAATATAAACATTTTTTTTATACCCCCAAGTTTCAAAAGTTTGTAAGTGAAAAAACTAGAAGTGTTCATGAAATGAAATATAACACATATTCTTTTTATTTTATAAACAAGACTTTCTGTTCAATTTTTATTTTATGCTTAATACAAAGATTTTATATTTTAAAATGTGTACTTTCAGGATTTTTCAACTTTGCTGTTGATTTAAAATTAGTATGTTAAAATATTTTACTAATATTTAGCTTATTTAATTAGATAATATTAATGCTCATTGTTAGTCAATAGTTCCAGGTTATGTAAAATATATTAAAAAATAAAATGATGTAATAACCCATGTTTCATAAAGTGATAAGAGGAGCCTCATGAATAGTAAGGTATAGAAGTCCAGGAAAAAATGTTTTGATAATAGGAAATATTTCCCGAAAATGGCAAATAAAAATTTAATTCTATAACATAAAAGAAATTTCAAAGGAAGTTAAAATTGCTACAGGGGTGTGGTGGCTGAGCGGGTTAAAATGTGTGAAAAATGCCTTGTCCAGAGCAACCTATGATGAACTGAAGTTTATGACTTCAAATCCTGGTGCTAGAGACGGGGGGAGAAAGGGGGCTTTTAACTCTGCCATTAACCCCATTACAAAAGAACTATCAAAACCACAACCAAAGAAACATTCAAAATGATAACGACTTGGAAATCAACGTATCAAATTTTCCCAAAGGAAAATTGATCATACACCAGTATATAAATATATATGCGTAGAAAAGTATATATAAATCTTAATAAATTAAAATACCTAATGAAAATAATTAGCCGCCTTTACATTTAGCATGGAAAGAAAAGCATAGCCTAAAAGACGAGGAAATGCACAGGGATATACTGGGATATACCCAATGCACAGGGTTAAATTGTGAAGTGGACCTAATAAAAAAAGTAGAACTTCCAAACTAAAGAAAGCTAAGAAGAAATTTGAAAGATTATTTTATTGAAATAATTTTAGATTGACAATTAATTTCTTTGAAAATATAATTAATGTATTATATTAAAAATTTAATTTGCTAGGAAGGTACCCTCTGCCCAGATCAACTCACAATAACAGATCAACCCCCATATTTGTTTGTAGATAGTGTACATTGTGTTAGTCTGTTTTTATTATAAATATTGTGTATAATGTGTGATTTAAATGTTTCTTATTGTAAATGGTTTGTTTATATTCTTTAATTTGTGTGTTGAATTTATTGGTAATAAGAAATATGTTGTCTTCGTTACAGTCTGACCTGCTTTGTATATGTAAAATAAAATATGACAGTCACTAAAAACATTTTTATATAGTTTTTTCTGATGAACAATTTTTATTGAGAAAAAAATACATTTTGACTCAATTAAGGGCATTAAGTATTTATGATGAATGAAGTACAATCATACCATATATACAATAAAAGAACAACAAGATTATAAGAAAATAAAATAAAATAAAACTTGGAGTAACAGAATAAATCAAACATGATACAACATTAGATAAAAACTAAAATAAAAAATAATAATAATAAATAAAAACACATTCAAACTTATTTACAATATTTACAGTCAGCCGAGGGAGCTCCGAGTCGGGCCTTTTCCTCCACGTGTGGAGGACAAGGCAAGACTCCAAGAGATCCCAGCGCTTCTCTCTCAGCTGCATCACTAGGATTTTTTATATAGTAGAGAGATAATTAATTTTAAAAATTATGAGGTGTATACTACTGATTTAATTTTAATTTAACTTAATTTTCAACAGATTTCACCGTATATTGAAGAAAGACAAAATTAAACAGGAGTTGAAAGACTTTGAAAAACTTCAAAAGACAGATCCGGAAGCAGCGCTAGAAAAGTTGGAACAAATTGAAAGAGCAAGGGCGGAGGAGAGGATTTCTTTAAGGCATCGTAACACTGGAAAATGGGCCAGGAGCAAAGCTATTCGTGCCAAGTATGATACCGAGGTATGATAAAACCAGTACATCAGTGTATTTATTATTTTATTCATTGTTATATTTCTGTCATTATCTCCATTGTTTTTTTTATTAACATATCAAATCAAATTTAAGATGTGCCTTTTTCTCAGTGGTGTTACAGGGGTTTCGATGATAATAATAATGAAATATTGGATTTAAGAAATATTGAAAAGAGCGAATGTACTTAGAGTATTGTTTTTTTAAGTATTTAAGAAATTCGAGACATACAAATAAATAAAATGGTCAAATATTAAAAAAAAAAAAAAAAAAATATATATATATATATATATATATATATTTTTTTTTTTTTTCTTTTTCTGTTTCCATTACAGACCTTGTAGATCTTTAGCTGCCTTAGTCAGCCTTTTTCATCTCTGCCTATCTTGGGCTATTTCTTTCCAGTTATCTGCACGCAGCTCTATTGCATCTTGGTAATTCTATCTATCCATCTAATTTTTGGCCTTCCACTTGGTCTCTTGCCTACTATTGAGACATTCATTGTTGTGTAGAGGCTTCTAGATGGATTTCTCTGAGCTACATGCTCCATCCATCTTAACCTACTTGCCTTCATATCATGATGTATTGATTGACCAGTTTCTGTAAGCAGGTCTTTCTCCTCTATGCATTTGTACTCTGATCTCAGAGAGCGCAGTTTATCATGCAGAGAATTTTTCACTCTAATCATTCAATAATTCTTTTGAGGGTGTTAGTTAAGAGTCCAAATCTTGCCACCATATATCAGAACTGGCTTTATCATAGCATTGTACCTCCTTAATTTGAGATTTTTGGGGATTTCAATAACTTTGAAAGAGAGAAGAAAGCTATATTTGCGCTATTGGGGTGGAATTTTCTGCTTACTATCATATATTTTGTTTTATTTTCATTCACTTGTAGGCCGATTTTCTCTTCTTTTGGTATCAGAGTTTTAGCCAGTTTTTCAATGCCCTCTTGATTACTTCCAAGGAAAAATATAAATAAGAAAAGGATACAGATTTTAATTTATTAGTAGGTATAAATTCTGTTTTTGTAAAAAATATAAATGCAAAAATTTAAATATTATTGTAAAAATTAACTTAATATTGTTTTCAAAATCATTTAAAATATCTCAGTTGTATTATAAATATTTTACACTTCAAATTAGAAATGCTGCCAAATTTAAAAATATATGTTTTAAAATTTAATTTTTATAAAGTATGAATCAGTTAACCAATAGTTAAGAAATTCATATAATACATTACTCTTATGTTTTTTTAATAACAGCAAATGGTTACAAGAAATTTAATTAATTTTTTAAGTGGTTGTTAATTTTTCTTTATTCTTAACAAATAAAATTGTTTCAGGCTCGAATCCAACTAGCTGAACAGTTGGCTAAAAGCAGGGATTTGACAAGAAAAATAAAGGACATTAATAATTCGAGCTCTGAAGATGAATCGGAAGATGAAAACACTGATGAAGAAAACAACAGAAGCAAACATATTAAAAATGTTAACGAAAATGGTACTTCTGATAATCCTTGGGTGTCTGAATACTCTCAATTTCTTGACGGTTATAAAACATTTTCTACTGAAAATACTGATCCTTCATCCGATAAAGGAACGAACCAAAGTGTTTCACCTCAAAAGAACAATGAAAATAAGAATTTACCATTCACTCCATCATTAAATGTTACAGATAGTCCTTCTAAACCAGTTGAAGATGTAGAATTAGATATTCATGAAAATCAATCAAAAGAGGCTAAAAATAAAGACAGAACATCAAAAGAAAACAAAGATGGTAGTCAATCTGAAGATGAGGATGAACAAGTGGAAGAAGCAATAAACATAGATGAATCAAATAGTGATGATGATGACGATGATGGTTCTAAATCATCTCGAAAAAATGCCTCAATTGATGAAATGTTTGATAAAGTAGAAGAGGTGTTGAAAGATCATGTTGCGGTTAGTGTAAAAAGAATTGAATCAATTTTAAAAAATGACAATGATAAAGATGAAGACAAAGAAAGAGCCGAAAATGGGACGAAGAATTTTGAATTTAAAAAATCAGCTCGACTTCATGATATTGATGCGGCTCTCATTGAAGTTGCAGATGAAGGCATCAGTTCAGGACTCAACGATTTGAGTGCATTGAAGGAAAAGCTAAATCTTACTGAAAATAAGAAAGCTAAAGAGCCTCAAATCGACCCAAACAAACTCATCACGGTCAAACCACAAAAGTTAAAATCTGTATTACCAGACCTTGATGAAAAAGGAGACGATTCGCAAGAAGAAGAAGAAGAAGAAAAAGAGAAACATTTAAATTTAATGGAAGCTTTTGCTGAAGATGACATTGTTGATCAATTTAGGTATGTACATCCTAATTTATTTATTTATTTTTTCGAGAAGGAGATATGGGAGTTGGTCGTTAAAGAAAAACATATTAAAAATTCTAATAAATTATTTGATGGTAAAGTTTAGACCTATATTGTAACTAGAAATAAATAAAAAGGTAAAAATATTTTAGGATTAACAGAACAAAACAAATATATATATATATAAAATTAATGGATAAAATTAGAAAGTGAATGATAATGAACATAAAAAATAAGTATAGTAATCCGATGAACAAATATAACGAATCAGCAATAACTGATAAAGTATTAAACTGTTATAATAAAACTGATAATAGTTGAAAAAAATGGTACTGAAAAAATAATAACTGGCATCTCAGCTATTATTTTTTTGGTACCATTGTTTTTTAACTATTATCAGGTTTTTACTATTTAATCACTTTTTAGTTATTGCTAGGTTAGTATATCGGTTCATCAGTTAAATACCAGGTATATCCCCACATATATTATTACAGTAAGGCTCAAAATCTGTTTTGTACCAAATATAAGCTCCTTTCATGCTCAAATACCATGAATGGTGTACCGTTGGGTTCAGAATTTCCCAGGGGGTTAGCGAATCGTAATCTCCACTTTTTTTTTTCTTTTTAAAATAAATAAAGTCGATACAAACATTTTGCTAGGCTTCGATACTGGAACGGTGGTAAGTCAGTAGATCGATACGGGACAAATTGCGCTTTGAAGATTTTGATGCGTACAGTAAGACTATCGGGCCCTGCGTTTTTAATCCCAAAAACGTACTATTTTCAAGATAACGCAGGGCATAGAGTTCGCATTCACACTACCTTATGTTAATTGTAGTACTGTCATTGAATACATGGTTCATATCGTCGACTTGAGGCCCCTATGATCGAGAGAGAAGGAGTTTATATTATTTATCAATGATGTTTTTGATCGGCAAGCCATATCATCGTTAATTTTTCACCAAATCTCAAGATTGAGCCACCAATTTTGAAGGCTTCCGTCTCCTTCAGGCAGGCAAAATAGTCCAATCATGCCGAAAATACAGGCAAACAAGTTATGAAAGAAAAGAATCTTTATTTGCGAATAATTAAAAAATTACACACTTTTCTCTTGGTTATGCACATGATTATATAAAAGTTTACTAAATTCCCTACAAAAGAAAAAAAATCATCGAAATTTTTAGCAAAGATACAGCTTATTGAAATTTGTAAACATGTTAGTTCCAAACATTAATGAAGTTTCAAATTAATTCTTGCATTATTTTCTTTTCTTATTATTTCTGCATTTGATCACTTAACAATATTCTGTGTGAGTTTTTTGCATGGGTCTACTAATATTTTTTAAATTTCGTATTGGAAATACACATTTGTTACATGAAAAAGTAAAAAAAAAAATATTTTCAAGTGTGGATTAATAGTTGACAGTCATGAATGTAATGAAGAGGAGTTGGTTGGTGTGAGCAGTCTAAAGTAAAAAAGTAAAAATAAATAAATTATATTTATTTTGCCGACGTTCTGGCCAAGAAAAGACTAGAGAACAATACATATGAGAGAGAAACTAGTAAACGATAGAAACATAATAATATTTAGAACAAAGTTAGGAAATATAATATATATAAATATCATTTATATAACAGTTATATAAAGTATAACTTTTATACTTTCCAATTTTATACATTTATATTTATATCAATAATTCTAAATACTTTTTATTTTTTCTTATATATTTCTTTTTAGCCTCGATGAAGACCTACGATGTGAAACAAAACATCAGCATTGAATAAATAATCAGCATTTAATTGTTTTCCTTTTTTGACCGACTCTCAGACCATCTTCCTTGAATTATCATAAGAGCGGCTTCATATCAAAGACAGACATCTGTCATTTTTAAAACATCGAAAAAAGACAATTTATCTAACATAGCTTCAATTTCAATGATTTTGTTTCATGATTCAACTTCAAAATTGTTAAATAAAATCATCAGAAACAGTTAGAACTTATAAAACAGAAATTTACTTCTTTTTTTTTCTCACTTTCTGTAAATGACATATATTCTATAATATCCATTGTTTCATATCTAATCATAAAGAATTTTCTGATATTTATTATTTCTTTTACCTCAGGGAGGAGAAAAAAGTGGAAGAAAAGAAATCTAAAGGGAAAGAAATTGATTTGACAATGCCTGGGTGGGGATCGTGGGCAGGAACTGGTGTAGAAAAAAAATCTAAAAGAAAAACGAGAAGATTTATCGTCAAGTTTCCAAAAGTTCCAAGGAAGGACAAAAAGAAACCAAATGTTATCATCAACGAGGACCCCGTGCCCAAGCTACGTGAACAACTTGTAAGTTAATTTTATATTTTAGTTGATATTATTTAATATTTTTTGAAATTCTCCCTTGTTATTAATTGTATGTTGCTGATAGGGTAATAGAAAGTTTATTTAATTAAGAATCACTACGTTTTATGACCAAATGGAAACATCTATTGGTTGGGGTCGACAATAATATTGTCGGTTTATTTTGCAAAAAGTCATTAAGTGACATTTTATAATCTTAGATAATTTTTCTCTTTATGAAATTTGCAAATTTTTTGTTGTTGTGTCTATATTTGATATTCTAAAGGTTTTGTATTATTTTCATGCACTTACAATGTTTTTATATCAATAAATTAAGTCAAAATTCACAAAAATATATTTGAAAGTTAATCTATATCGAAAATATCCTTAGTGACTTTTTGCATTAAACTGACAATATACAAAATTAATAAAAATAAAAATGCAATATTTTAAAAATAAACACATGTGTAATTTAATGAACAGCTGTGTAATTAGTGCTAATTATAGAGCTAATAGTACAGTTCCTGTAACCTTCTACACTAAATAAAATATGATATACACTAAAAACTTTTTTATTTAATAGATAGATGTATTTAGCTATTTTCTTTTCTAATTGAATTGATATGTATCAATTAAAGTTTAATTTTTGTATATGTAAAAAATATTAGGTGGCAGAGTTGTAACTATCATGAGATTTTCTTATTTACTTTTGTTAAGGGCTATAATTTTCTTCAATGCTCTATTCTGCTGTGAAATAGAAATTTTCGATAAATGTCATTTTGCACTTTTTTTGTGGAGAGTGAATTAGATTGAGCCACCAGATCTCCGATGTGTAATGCTTCGGTAAAGTCGGTTGAAGTCAACTAATTGAATTGTTTTTGCATGTGGATTAAAATATCTCAAAAAATTGGACCTGCATACTGTAAGCAAGAGAATTGTTCAGCATTTTATCCTTTCTTTAATGAGCTATAATTCAAAATTGTATCTTAACGCGACACCCTGTTAAAGAGGCAAAAAGGAAAAAAAATTGTTGAAAATTAAATGATAATGAGTTTTATTGAAGATATGGATTAAAATATCTCAGAAATTAAAAATCGGATCTGCATACTGTAAGTGAGGGAAATGTTCAGCATTTCATCCTCTTTATAATAAGCTATTAATTATAATTATTATTTATATATATTATTATAGTCCATATTATTAATCTCGCCTTGTTGATGTTTTCACTTCTATCATGCGGTCTAAAGCACACACCTTAGTTTTTATGTTTCACTTCTTCTTTCACGCAATTACAATAAAATAGTTTTTTAAACAATGTCATTGCCTTGATTCGGTTGATTTTAAATCCTTTTTTTTCAACAATTTTTCTTCTGTCCTATTATTGAATGAATATATACTGATGGAGCTAATTTTTATTTTTTTTTTACAATTTTTAACAGGTCAGTGAGTTGCCGTATCCATTCACAAGTGTCAAAGATTTTGAAGCTTCGATCCGAGCACCTATTGGAAAGAATTGGGTCACAGAGAAGGGATTCAAGAAACTTACAGCTCCTCCGGTTGTAACAAAGATGGGAACAATCATTGAACCGATGGACGGTTCTTGGTTGGTCAACAAGCCGAAGAAAAGAATGAACAATAATAAACCCAATGTTAATTCGAAAAAGAAAAAAGTTAACTGATTTAAGCTGACATTCCTATTTCCTATTTATCAGTGAAATTGAGAATTTTTTTTATTTTATATTAGATGTATTTTAGTAATACACTCCTCTGTTCATATTTTATTGTTTAATTTATTTGTACTTTATGCAGCTTTAATTTAATTGTTTCTAAAATCAGCCAAGGGTTGACTATACTTTTGTTTTGTTTTTTTAAGTTCTTATGTTGTCAAGTACATAACATGTACTTAGTTATATAATATAATGTATATATTAATTGTAAAAATGTATATAAGCCAAATGATGTATATATATTTTTTGAAATAATAATATTCATTACTTTGAAATTGTTTTTATTTTATATATTCAATTTCGTAATCATTCTTTCGTTAATTCAATAAATATTTCGTCATGATGATACAAAAAAACCTTTAAGTGAAATAAATTGCTTAAGTAATTTAATGAATTTTCCTCTATGAAATAAAAATAAATTGTATTTGATATAACATTTTTTGAACATAATTGGGTTTTTGTTATTTTGATGCACTTAATGAGTTTTTGCTTCGATAAATAAAGCTGAAATAAACCAATATGTACTTGAAAGTTTATTTCCATCAAAAGTGTACTTGGTGATATTTTGCAATAAACTGACAGTATATTCAACAAATTCCTCATTCAAGTGCTTAATTGTTTTCAGTGGATTGATATCATATTTGCAGATATTGCTGGAGACAAATTTCCTGTCTTTGTTTATTGCCTTATGAACGCTAATTCTTATCAACAAAGATAAAAATATTCACTATTCTTGTCTGTTAAAAATTAATTACAAATTAGATTTCTTAATTAGAAAAATATTCAAATAAATGAAAATATTCATTGATGGTTAAACATTATATTTTTTACTTTCACTTACGTATATATGTAATATATAGTAAGGGTAAGTATTGCAATCGTGAAAATTTTCGAATCTCAGTTTTCAACGGAAATACATGTTTTGAGGTCCCCTGAATTCAAATAACCAAGTATCGCAAAATGGTCTGTGTTAACAGTCTAGCTCAATAACGAAAAGTAGTACAAAACTGATATTAAGTATTTAAGGTTTGTATATGAGCCGGATGTGACAGCAACTTTTTTATTAAAATCGGCTAACCGGAAGTGCCACTTTATATGAAAGCTGAAACATATTTTTACAATTTTCTCAAAAACGGCTCTAACGATTTTGATTAAACTCGGTGTATCATTGTATAATTAAGTGGTCTTTAATATCATTCAGGTCTTATCCCCGTTGATGTCACTTTACAGAGCTTAACTGCCCAATGTTCATATACGTCTTCCTCTAAAGTACCTTTAATATGGTTTATTTAAAAAAATTAATCAGCTTAAGTTATTCAGAGTTACAAAAAAATACTAAATATAACTTTTGAAAGAATTTGATAAGTTAATAAAGGAGAAAAAAAAATAAAAATGCAGAAAAACCTGCGTTGCTATAGACTGTAGCGCTTAAACGAACGTATCGATTTCAATGAAACTTTGCTAAAGTCATTTTCTCGACACCCTTTAAGTTTATCTGTATAACACACTTCATCGAAAAGAAGCTGGAAAATAAGTTACGAGGGATGGTAAAAATTAAATTCTGAATAACTCAATAAGTATACGCTTTTTTTGGGATATTGTATATATTTTTTTAAAGTTTATGGAATTTCCTAAAAAAACAAAAAAACAAAAAAACAAAAAAAATCGGACAATTAGGAGAAAAGATATGGTCTCTAGTTTTTTTCCCTGAAGAGGTGAAAATTTGTATAAATTTAAAATATACTTTTTTAATTGTTGAGACTAAAAAAACCTTTTTTCTACAGATATTTAATAATGTACCTTTCCTAAGAACATCTTTCATAAGAAATAAGTACCTAAATTTATACCTTTATTCTCAGTTCTATATTTCAACACTGTAATCACCACCTCTGGAATCAACTTACTCATTGTCTGCATAGATAACTTTTTCAACTAAAAATATCACTAACATGACATCACTCAAAAATTTTGAAATTGGAGTTAGTCATCCTGTGGTTTATAAAAGCAGATGGAGTGGCTAGATTTTTATTGCCTGACATTTTGTAATTATGATGGTCTTAATGACGTTATATGTAAGCTTTAAGCTTTAAATCCATTTAAAATGCTCTACAAAAAATTTTATAATAGCCCAGCATTGCCAGAAAATAATTTCTATTCAAAGTAGATCGGTAAGTGAAAGTTGTGTTTTGCGCGCACCAGATTTTTTTTTCATTGGTCCATATTTGATCTGAGATAAATATTTAAATAATCACGACATGTGCTCTTTTTAACGCTTTGGTACCAAATGTAAGCACATATCAAGAAAAAAATATCCCTTACAACATTATTGTTCTTGTTAGGTAAATATACCAGTAATAGAAACTGTACTAGTAATGGAGAGTTTTCAACTTATTAACAAATAACAAGCTTTATATGGCCAAAAGAGAATGCAAATATGAGTAAATTTGCAGTTAAAACACTTAAGAGGGTTCTGAACCTCAAGTGATATATGACAATTAATGTCACAATAGCCGATCGGTAGTTCTTTGTTTCAGGGTGGTTTCCATATCCCTTTTCTTTAGGAGGCAAGTTCGAAATTTTGATTCATTCATCTGTAGTTTCTAATTTATTAGTTTAAAAATTTGGAGAATTTATTATGTTTTTTTCTAATTATATAAAAAAAACCTATTGACTCCGAAACCTCAGTGTCTCTTACTAGTGCAATGTACACTGTCAGAATTTATTAAGTTTTTCATGAATAATTATTATATTAAATCTAATATAATTATTTTTTTTTTAAACTTTTTTAATCTCACAGTCTTTTATTACAATTTTAAAACATTTTTATATCACTTAAAAATTATTCTTTTTCAACGTTTTGGCTCCAAAAGCCATTTTCAAAAATTCTTTTTCTTTTAAAAAACCAAACCAAAAATTACTCATATTAAAAACATTATTACTAAAAATTTCTTACAATATATCCGTATATAAAATAATATTCTATGGTAGTATAGTACTTGTTTCATTATATATAAAATGTTTTTTTTAATTTTTCAGACGTTGAAAATCCACAAAATTTCTCTTATTTTATCAAAAACTTAATCCTGTAATTTAATACTCCTTTTTGATGTAATAATTTAAAACACATTAAAAAAAAAACACTTATTTTACAAAAACTTTTTTTGGGCAAAATTTATTTCATTACTGAAAAACATGACAAAAACCAAAACTAAAAAAAGAAGGGATAAAAAGCTTTTTATTTTGATCTTAATTTCCTTTCCTCTTGATCATCCTCATTTTATCTCCACTGAACTGTGGTCTAGACTGACTCACTTTATATATTATGGTGGCCTCTAATGTGTTTAATTTCCATTTATTTTGTTTTTCAGGCTTTAGGATTAATTTTATCTATTTAACTTTTCTTGACAGTTCTGCATAATTTTTGCTAATGTTTTTTGAATCTGATTTAAAATTTATTGCATTTTCTTTAATAGTTATTGCTTCTAGAATTTTTCTTCTAAAAATATTTTTTTCTTTATATATAATTTCTACATGTTCGAAATTGAATCTATGTTCTTTCTCTACAATATGTTGTATTAATGCTGTTTTTAATTAAGTTATTGCCAATGACCCTACAGGGTAGAGGCAACAAAATACCAAATAAATAAATAAATAATTATGTTTTGGATTTTTCTATTTTTGTAGTCATTCGTATGTTGATTCTGTTCTTTATAAATTGTCCGGATTCTCCATAATATATTTCTGGGCAGTCCAAACAATTGATTTTGTGTACTATTTAAAATTATATGAAAATTTATTGCAACCCTAAAACAGTTCCTGCGATTTCGTGATTCTATGCCCCTAAAGACTCATTAGCTCCTAGTTTCCTCACTTCGATTATGTTTGCCTTGTATATGGTGGAATGTCTAGAAGGCTTGAGATCAGATTGAGAAGACTGATGAATTGCGTCATTATATTCATCTTTGGAGCCCCCAGGCGCTCCCACGTCTCCAGTTGGTATGCAGAGTTGAAATGGCTTTATCCAGTTTTCCGAAGGCAATATCTCCTAGGTGTTTTTCTTTTCTGAACCTTTACAACCAAAAAACCCGCTTACATTCTTAATCTGTTTACTCCTTGCTCCTCGGTCCATTCATTAAAAACGAGATCTCAGCCCACAATCCTTTATTCCTTCTCATAGAACTGTTTCCTTTAAAAAATCCTTTCTCATAAGTGCTACCTTGGTATGGAATTCCCTGCCTACTTCCTTAACCTTATTTAAACACCATTTATTTTTTCATCTCCTCAGTAATCAATCTTCTGAATAAATGTAAGAATAATATTTTTGTGTTTTATAGATGTCAATCTCATTATGCCATTATCTTATTTACACTTATATATTATCTATTGTTTATAATTGAACACGCTCATATATATCTATCTATAATTCAAATGTTAACTTGTGTCTTTTTATCATTTTAACTTCAATGCTCAATAACCATGTAATTTAATGAATTCTTGATAATCTTTTTATGCCAGTCTAATGTCACCAAATTGTTCATTGTAATTATTCTTAGGAGACTGAATGTCCTAGTCTCATGCATATTTGTTTATTTCTATTTTATCTTTCGTGTTATTTAATAAAGTTTCGGTTTTATTTGTTGGTTTATATCCAAATTTATATTTTGGTACATCTTAATTTTTTAATGTTCTGTTTAGGCTTTGTGATAATTTATTAATATAAGTACATTTTTTGCATTTTAAATTACTGGTGACTCTAATATTTCTGCTATATTTAAAATATTGTTTTTATCCTTATCATTAATAATTAGTTAAATGACTGTATAGAAAAGAAAAATTGATAAAAGACCTAATTTGCTGTCAATTAACTCATTTGCAAAGATCCATCGTTATAACTAAAGCTGTGGTACACATTAATGTTGAATAATTCTCTTAAAGTGTCTATTATGGTACATTTATTGTTTTTCTTTTTCTTTTAAACAGGCCCTTCAAGTATAAACATATTTTATATAATATCTTTCTTTTTATTTCAGAGCAATTACTGTTATAAACAATAAGAAAAAAAGCCTCTCCCCAAAAATTAAATTCTAAATACACTTACTTTTTCCATGTTTTAGATTTTAAAGGAAAGTTATCCAAATAAATGCAATTCTTTTCCCGCCATTCCTTCCTTAGTATTTGAGTTGAAGAAGAGATGGCAGCACATGCTGTTACTGCGAAAAAACCGCAGTGTTACCTCAAACAGTCGTCAGTGAGGTTGTAGTATTCCTTTGGGAAGTTTGAGTGGGATTCCAGAAATGTTACAAGTTCGTTATTCATAAGGCTTTTATTATATCCGGTAGTGCCGGAAAATTGATTTATTAACTAATTAGTTCATTATAAATTAATTATTAATCGCTTTTCTCTTTTGATTACATGATTACATAACATATTTTAAGTTTTGTGTAAAAATTAAGAGAAATATGTCAGAAAATACGACTCTTATCTTCTTTGTCAATGGTCGGAAGGTAAATATTCTTTAGTTTATAATAAAACAATTTAAATGACATAAAAAATAATAATTAAAAAAATATAACTTTTAATAGATATAATTTTTAATTACATTTTTCATTATAAAATATTTTGTGGCCCTTACCCAACTTCTGTTACTGTGTCCAAGTCCAGTATTTATATATTATCAATGTATGGTTTCAAAATAAATTGTTATGCTAAATATAAACTGGTAATAAATTAGTTTTTAATTTTTTTCTATTTTTGATAATTAAGCAATTTGGTGTTTTGTAAACAGATGAGAACACTTTTGGATTGAATTAAAACCTATGTATTGTACTGAAAGTTGGTACCGAAGTATACATATTTAAAATAATATGAATTTTGAAAATTACAGTTTTATTTTAAATATTTATAAAGGCTTACCTTAAAAATTATTTTAATATTGAATTTTTTAAACACACAACACTAGTTCACAATTGAAAAATAAAAAAGATTAAAATATATATACTTACATTTTCATTTCTTTAAAGTTAACTAGATTATTTAGTTTGTACCAACTATAATTTTTATTCAATTTTTTGTTTTCATTGCCATAGTTTCAAGAATAAAAATCTCAAGGCATGTTCAGACATTTCAAAAACAAATATAAAAATGTGCTAGTATTTTTGTTTTCTATTTTGATATTTTTAATCTAATGTTGGTATCAAGAGAAATAAAGTAAATAATTTGTTTAGGAATAATGTTGCTGTTATTTAAGTTAGATAATTGTGTTTGCCATAGTTCATGAAATGTCTAAGTGCACAGATTCACATTCAAAATTTATTTATTGAGCAATGTTTTAATTTGTTTATTATATACCTTTTTATTTGTCGAATATAGATGATACAGTTATATTAATATTTCATTTTTCATATTTCATATGACACAACACATTCAGTCCTATTCAGTCCTATAATTTCCTTTTTTATGAAATTATATTTTCATTTTTATACAGTGTACTATTTTTAATAGGCATCACTATTTTTTTTAATGCCAAAAAATGTTGTTGGTTCTTTTTTAATCAGAAGAAAAAAAAAGATCCCGTTTGACAACATTGTGTTACATAACTGCTTAAAAAAATATTCCTTTTGTGGAATCTTGTTGCTAATTTGGAGTATATTTTCTTTCTTTTTGCTCTGAATTTACTAATGACTTTTAACTTAAAAAAAAAAAAAAAATATATATTTGAACAGAATATAGTAAAATGTGCTAATTTAAAAAAAAAAAATAAGCTTAACTAATACGATTTGAAATTAAATCAGTTGCACTTTTTATTAAATATTAAATTATATTTTCATTCATTATAAATATCATCAAAATCTTTTCTTTTTTTTTTTAATAAGCACTGAAATATTCTTTGGAACCTCAGAAAATCTAGTTTTGTTTTTTTAAGTAAAAGAATAATATAAAAAATCCTGTTTGACAACACTGTTGCATAACTACTTAAAAATATGCCTTTTGTATGTGATTTTGGAATATATTTTCTTTTTTTTGCTCTGATTATACTGATCACACTTGCCAAGTTTTAAAATGTATTTATTAAATAAGTTTCAATTGGGCATCTGATGAATCTTTCAGAAATATAACATTTAAGGACATTTCTTCAGTCATAGTTATTATTGTACATTTGCTGAGAAAAAATTATGAAATTGAAAAAGTTGTTCCAGACATTTGTTATTTCATAATTTTTCAAACTGAAGCTGTTATGATTATTTTAATTTGAAATAGTTTTACTTCCTCGCTAGAAATATTTAAAAAAATATATAAAATAAAATATATCTAATAACAAAATCTTTTTGAAGGTTGAATCCTGATTAAAAAAAAGTATATTTTTGGGATATGTTACATGATTCTCTCATACGCCTCAATCGGTTTAAAATCTTTATTTATGATTATATGATTATATAATTATATAATTATATATCTTTTTATTGATTGGGAATTTTGGTGAAATTAACTGACACAATAACCTTATTCTTGAATATGAAAGTGAATTAATTTTCTTTAAATAGATGTTTTTATTATATTCTTATTATTAATTATATTATATTTGCTAAATTAGTTGTTATTTTATATGAAAATATCCAATCATGTATTGTTTTACAATATTTTTAAAATGTGACAAATCTTTGCCAATTTGCAAAAAACTCAGTTTATCAATATTTAATATTTCTAATTAGAGGTTTTTCAGTTTTTAAGAAAATGTTTGTTGAAATAAACTCTAAACAATTTTAATATATACCAAAGAATTACTTAGTTATTCCTGTTATAAAATAAAATATTTTTGCTCAAAGCATTTTTCTATTCAGTCTGTTTTTAAAGATCAAAAGTAATAATTATTAATACTTCTAATTATCTTATCTTTTGAACAAATGTTGTTTATTTTTTGTGATATAGCTTGTATTATCAGTTCACCTTCTATTTATCAGATATAAGAAGGTATTGCTGGCTGTTCACTAAAAAGCTGAACTTGCGTAAAAAAATATGCAACTAATTAACTTACATAGCATAAAGAAAAAAAAAACTGAAGAAACTTCATTTGTAGTTCATTAAAGCACAAAATATATTAAAAGACTTTGAATGTAGTTAAATATGTATGTTAATATATACTTGTAACCTAAATATATGCTGTTATATTATAGATTGAAGATAACAATATTGATCCTGAATGGACTTTACTCTATTATCTGAGGAAGAAGTGTATCCTTTTATTTTATCACCATGAAATTATTATTCCCATGGATTGCTTAGTTTTAAAATAATTTTTTTAAAAATATTCATTGCTAACTGTTATTATATAATTGTAAGAATAACATTAAAATTAATTGTAAGAAACATAGCAACGGACTTTTTAAAAATATATAAGGCTTTTGGATTGGATAGCATTTCACAAAAGAGAACTAATTCAAATAGCTTGTTTTGAGTAAACCCAACTCAAAGTTAAATGTCTTTGAAAATCTTGAAGCTTTCAAATAAGAACATTTTTTTTTTTATATCTAATTTTATTATTCATTTATTTACACCCCAGGAGATTACTATGTATTGTATAGATTGTTAAAAAAATTAACTTTAGATTGATTCATTTTGACAAAGTCCTACGCCATGATCTTAACCAGAAACATTCTCCAAATTTCATCAGACCTTTTAATATTGCCCAGATCCCTTTGCACAATCCCTATCTAGCTCCATCCATCCCTACAATCCTTCTGGAACGTTGAAGCCGCAGTGGTCTAGAGAATTTTTGTAAATAAGTATATATTGGTGTTCTGAAAATGGCTAGATTCTCCACTCACACATCTGCGATTATAGTGCCTTTCCTCAGCTTCCACTGGTCATTAATACCACAGCTGTGGCACAGCTGAAAGAGAGATCTCCTGGAGTCTCACTTTTCTCTTCACATGTGGGCAAAAAGGGACCACCTAGTTTTAATGTTTTCCGTTTAGAGACACTACAATACAATTTTAACACTACCACACGAAGCAATTCCAGTAATGTGTACTGAAAAACACAGTCCACTTTAACTTTTTTTTGTTTCTTATATGGATATCAAGGAGTTTGGATTATCGAGACCATCCTGTATTTGTGTTTAGTATTATTATTTTGCTATTGTTCTATTGAATTCATTTTTATTTATTGTATATTTTGTATTTGTAATGAGCTATTATTTATTACTGTCTTTTATTGTGATATGATGTAATAAAATTCAATAAAGGAAAAAAAAAGATTGATTATTTTTTTTTTAAAATAGATACATCACATTCTATTTTCTATGTATTTTTTTTCAGTTTTGATTTTCCATTTAAGGTATCTGAACCAAGAAAGCGTTCCTTTCTATTGAAAATAGAAATCTCATTTAAAACCGCCACTAACTTATTTTTACATATTTTGCTAATTGGTTACATTCCACTGAAAATAATATGTGAATATATAAAAATTACATATAATTAATTTCCTTAGCTAATGATTAGTGCGTTTAACTGGCACAAAATTAGGTTGTGCAGAAGGTGGTTGTGGTGCATGCACTGTTATGATTTCTAGATATGATTGGAAGAATGAAAAAATTGTGTATCCTTTTTTTTTTTTTTTATGATATTTAAATTTCATAAACATATATGTTTTCTATTTTTAATAATTTACTTTCTTTTATAAATTTCTATGTGATCCCATTGTTGTTATACTTTATTCAATAAATGTACTTTTAAAAATATAAATTTGTTTTGGAATATCACTAATGAAACATGAGTATACTTTAATAATGTTCAATACAAATTTGTTCTTCATTATGATAAAAAACTTTATTTCTAATTATACCGGACTGCTTAACATTACAAAATATTGTCCATTGTTGACTCATGTAAATTATTCTAATATTTCTGGTTTTTCTTCTAATAATTAAGAATGATTTAAAAATAGAAATCAGATAAATATTTCTCTTGTTAATATAAGTAACATTAACGCCAAATAGAACTATGAAGTATATCCTTGAGTTTCTTTTGAAAAGCTGTAAAACAGGATCAGGTTTTTTGTGTTGTTATATGTATGAAAAAATCTGTAATTATATTTACTGATTGGATAGAGATCATTTGAATATTACATATGTCCTTAAATTAAACTGGATTTTTTAAAAAAATCAACTGCTATAAAACCAATTTGTATATTTAAAAAGATATTAGACCCATTTTAATTTGACATATTTTTGCAAAAACTAAATACAAATCATCACAAACATGAAAGAAAGGAGTGATTTCATTATTATACCCTGTTTGACTGATGAAATGGGAAATTTTATTAATAGAACTCACAATTTACTTTTTGTAAGTGCTGATTTAATAGGATTGTGAATAAGTTGAGATTTTTGGTTTATTATTTTAAATAATAAGTCTTGTACCCAATCAGCCAAGAAAAAAAGAACAAATAAAATAACCCTCCCCTCAAAATTAGAGATTTTACATCTCAAGAAACATAGAATCCAAAAATTGAATTAAGGAAAATCCGTCTGTTCAAAAACTGTACACTGTGGCTTTTCTTCGAGAATACTGATTATATAGTTTTACGAATTTGGCAATTAATGTTCCTCGGAACTTGACATTACCGTCATCCATTTTGTTTCAAAATGGTGGCTGGTTAGAAATTTGATTTGCCAGTATCTCTAACATTTATGAGGATGGAAGTTTATAATTTATATCTTTATACCAAAGCTCTTGAAACAAATATTTTCTTACCACTTCAAGGCAATGGAACTGGATATCAGTGGCATGAATTTCTCTTAAATGAGTGACCAGTTTTATTGTGTTTTTTTTTTACAATGAGATTTTATTATTAAATATAATCACTTTCTGGAAAATTATAACAATGTGGACATTAAATAAATAAAAATAATGCTTTCTACTATGACTATCCTCTATTCTTTTACATTTATTGTTTGTAAGTTTCTTTCTTTACTTCACTTTCTGTTCTGTGTGGATATTCTTTAAAAGGTTCTAACAATATGAACAATATTTTCCACTGTTTCTTTTTTTCTTATTCTACTGAATGATATTAAAATTTTAATGTTTATAACTCAATGTCAGAAAAAATGTGATCCCAGTTTTCTCCTATTGGTTTTTTTATTATTATTTTTCAGATTTATTTACATGTAATACGGCAAATGAATTTTGAAATATCTTATATTTAATAATTAAAAAAAAAATTCATTTATCGAAGAAATAAATTAGTTGTAATTATATACGATTATATATATTATAAATTACATAAATTTATATATATACAATATGATATTGTAATAATCATCTTTTCTTTCTCACTTTAACAACTTATAATTTGTTATTTTATTTTGAAAAAAAAAGTATATAAAAATTATTTATTCATGTTAACTTATTCATTAAACAGCAAGAAATTTACTTTAATACTTTAAATTGAAATTCTTAAAATATTACTCAATTCCTTAGCCACTCAGTCACTATGCTGTTAATGCTTGCCTGTTGCCTGTTTGCGCTCTTCATGGTACAGCTGTCACCACAGTTGAAGGAATTGGAAGTGTCGAGACTAAATTACATCCTGTACAGGAAAGAATCGCCAAGTCACATGGCTCTCAATGTGGCTTTTGTACCCCTGGTTTTGTTATGTCTATGTATACACTTCTTCGGTTTTCCTCTGGCAGACCATCGTTGAAAGATATTGAAATCGCATTTCAAGGTAATAATTAATATTTTGTTTCGAATTGATTGATGTCAGCACACAATTTAATCATTTTGATATTTTAGGTAATCTCTGCAGATGTACTGGTTATAGACCTATACTTGATGGTTATAAAACATTTGTGGATGATAAAATTGAATCAAATTATTCTTGCCCGATGGGGAATGATTGTTGTCAAAACAGAAATAAAATACCAACAACCAACTCTATTTGTTCTGAATCCATTAAAAATGGTATTGATAACAATTTAATTGAAAAATCCAATTTTCTCTTCAATTCTGAAGAGTTTCAACCGTATGATAGTTCTCAAGAATTGATATTTCCTCCAGAGCTTGCTGTAAATATATGTTTTTATTCATACAAAGTCTTACTATTCATCTAAAATTAACTACTGTGCTTTATTAATTTATTATTTTCAATTTAACTTGAAATTCAAATTAATATTGGTCAATATTATTTCTTAACTCTTTATTAACTTAATGTTTCGGGTTTGGCCAACCATTTTCAGAAGCAGCTTACTATGAAACATACAATTTGCATTATATATTTTTAATATTTTCAATTTATCATTAAATTACATCTAAATAGTTTATAATATTATAAGGATTGTATAGATAAGTTAAATAAAATTTACTATTATATGATGGGAGTACACAAAATTGTTGATCATAACCCATTCTCTATTAAGTGTTTTTTTTCAGTTTATCTTAGAAGTAATATTTTGTTTATATTCATAAATATTTTTATTTTTTATTGTTTCTATTATAGTAACAGGTTCATATAACTATTATTATGCAGTAATCGTTTTATGTTTTTAATTTCTATTGTTATTCATGTTTTGTGAAACCCATTCTAAACGTTAAATATTGTAAATTTTATTTATAGTTGTAAATAGTAGTATGTATGTAAATTTGTAAAACCATATTATTGTACAATAGCCAAGCTAGGCTCTATTTGTATGGGGAACCCCTATTTACCTATCTATCTAGTTTATAATATGCAAGCTTGAAGATAATGATTCTAATGTCCATAATATTAAAAAAAAAATGTTATGCCTATGCCATTGAAAATAAGGCTATCAAGCTTTTCAATATAGCTTTGCTATGATTGCAGTCTCCAATTTGATGTGATGGCTTTTTAACATGCCGTTCTGTCCGTCACATTAGGAATGTTATTATTGAGAATGTCTGAACAGACTGTACATCTCATTCTCCCGGCACAGAGCACTGTCTCTGACTCCGATCCTGTACAAATGTCATCTAAGGTAATTGTGTCCTGTCATCATGTGTATAATTTTCCCCTCTATTAAACTTTTCAATCTTTTTTCAGCTGCCTGATTTTTTGATCTAATTCTAACTTCTTCCTTGTAAAAGGATTTTAAAACCATAATAAGATAAATTTAAAAAAATTGGGGTAATATTTCCCATGTCCGTTCATTGTACCCATGCTCCCTGGTTTAAAATTAAACGAACAATAGTGTTGCCATAATTAAACAGCCCAATAATTCAGATTAATTAAATAAAAGGTAACACACTATTGTATTATAAATATTGTTATGTATTATTATAAGAATAATGAGGTGAAAATTATTAGTTGCATATGATGAAAATTGTATATTTCACAGTTATCTGCTTTTGAAAATGAGTGACCAAAATGTTAAGCTAAAAAAGAGTTGACAAATAATACGAAGATTTTTCAATAATCAATTTACATTTAAACTTATTTAAATTTTGGACAGATAAAATATTTGATTAAAAGATTTCAGATAAGCTGGATAGACAATCGCTAGTCATGAAGGGACCTAGGGTGACTTGTTTCAGACCAGTTGATCTTCACGAAGTGATTACATTAAAGAATAAGTTTCCTGGAGCAAAAATAATCAATGGAAATACTGAAGTAGGTATGAATTATTTTTCAATAGTTTAATAGAAAATTTTCTTACACCGTCAAATGATCATTTATGAAATTTTTTTATTTATTCTGAAAGGTGTTGAAGTGAAATTTAAAAACAGTCTTTATCCATTTCTTATAATTGTCAATATGGTTCCCGAATTGTCTGCTATGAGTGTTGAAGAAGATGGTGTAAAAATTGGAGCTGCTGCTACATTAACTGATGTGGAGACGTTTCTTAAAGAACAAATCAAGTTAAGAGAAAGTATGATTACATAATATTATGTTATTAAAATTACATTAATTGTAGTATATTGTATCGTAGCTTTGATTTCAGGTTCGGTCTGTAAAATATATGAATCTATTGTTGAAATTCTGCAATGGTTTGCGGGTAAACAAATACGCAATGTTGCGGTAAGGCTTATTTATTTGATTGATAATAACATACATGATGATTACAATAAAATTAAATTAACTGCTATTTTTGCTGCCATTATTTCATTAATAATTAGGGGCTCTATCAGAGGAAGATAGTCAACATTAATCAAAGATTTTTTTTTAAGGCCATTGGAGGAAATATTATGACTGGGAGCCCTATATCTGATTTAAATCAAATTCTGATGGCTTGTGGAGCTAAACTAGAACTCAGGAATTTGGGTAAACTTTAATTTTGACACTTAAATGGAAATATATTTTACTTTAATTATTACTTGAATACAAATTTAATTTTTAGATGGTTCTCGTGAAGTTGTTATGGATGAGGGGTTTTGGACTGGGTATAGGAAAAACATCGTGAAAGAAAATGAAATTCTGTGCTCTATAACAATACCTTTCTCTCATAAGGTAAAATAGATTTATTATTATACACAAAGCCTTTTATGATAGATAGTTTTAGCTCTTCAATTTTTCATTTCAGTTATCATCTTTCCATTTACTTAAATTGATATAGATATTCATAAAGGTTTGTTTAAACCATAGATAACTTGGCTAACATGAGTTAACAAATGGTTAACATCAACATCAAATCACCTTTTGGGCTGAAGTCCCCCCCCCCCCAAAATAGTAAAATATAACCATTTTTTATGGAAAAAATAATCTCTTAAAGTATTATTGTTCGTGTAATTAAATTTAAAAGGACTTTAGGAATCACTTAAACACCATTTCATTTAGTTAGTTAGTTTATTTCCTTTTTTCCAAATTAATTATTGTTATTATTATGAAAAAAAATTTTTTGGGCTGAAGCCCCCCAAAATTAAATCCTGGTTCCGCTAGTGCCAAGAACACTCCTTGTAAGTCCACATATTTACTCTCAATTAACTCAAAAGCTATAATTTGATTTACTTATTTTGAACTTTCTTGTTGAGGGAACATATTTCCAGTACAAATATTTCTTTATTTAAATAATATCAAAGAAATAAGGATTATTTGTTTTTATTGGGTTTGAGGACTTGATGGTCAAGCATGCTGAGACGAGAGACTTAATTTATATTTAATTCTCTGCAGTCTTTATAAATGAATCTCAGGATCACTTGCTCCACTTGACAAACCAATTTTCCCTTCAGAACCAGTGTGTTCAACTCCTTTACATCATTATAAGAAGTATTAACAGGTTTATACTTGCATTTAAATAACAGGTTACTAAACAATTATAGCTTAAATTTAAAAATTGTTTTTTTCTGAATTGCACCTTTATTTCTTTTTCTGATTTATTTATATATTTTTAGTTTATTATAATTTTAATTATATTTATAATTATAATTAATAAATAATTTATATTTTTAGAATCAGTACTTCAAGTCTTATAAACAGGCTAGGAGAAGAGAAGATGATATTGCTATCGTTAATGCTGCATTCTGGTTAGATCTTGAAGGCATTGAGATAAAAAAAATAAAAATGGCATTTGGAGGAATGGCTCCTACAACAGTATTGGCCTGTAAAACAGCATCCAAATTAATTGGGAAGTGAGTGACATTAATTAAGCAATAATGTTTAAATTTTATATTAATTAATTTGAGATACGATTGTTTTTTTCTGTACGTGCTTATCAGTCTCATTAAATCCAAACTGTATAAGTAAGAAACATGAGTCGAACAAGTAATATTTTAAAAATTTATTAAAAACTAACTAATACTCTAAGTAGAATGGTAAGTGAAAGTAGTGTAATGTGAGTGTGGAACATATTTATTATTTATATTTTTGATTCAATTTATTCCTTGAGTTTGACTCAATCATACTTAAACTGACATACCTTATGTATTCTTCACAAATGAAATTTTAATTTTAATGTGTTTCATTATTATTACAAATGTTGACCTGTAAGAGGCCTTTATAATAATTTTTATTTTTATTTTTGAGCAATGAATCTATATTTTACTAATGATTAATTATTTATTATTTAAGGAACTGGGATGACATTATGTTAGAAGAAGCATTAATGAGTTTGATGGATGAACTTACTTTAGCTCCTTCAGCGCCTGGGGGAATGGTTTTGTATCGACGATCTCTTGTTTTGAGGTGATTATTAGTTTACATATCATTATAAATTGAATAGTTTATTTTAGAAAGATCATAAGTTTATCATTTTGAATCCCTTTCCAGAAGAAAGAGGGGAGATCAAGTAAAATTGAAAAAAAAAAAAAAAATATTAGAATTTTATCAAAGAATTCATCATAATTTTCTGTTTATCATTTAAAATATTTATTTTCTCTTCTTTTGATATTGATTAATTTTTATTTAGGAAAATTGTTAAGGAATATAGATTAATTTTAAAATATCTCCTCCCAAGGGTTATAATAAATGTAAAATAAAATTATCCATTTATTAGTAAGAACAATTTATGTATTATGTTAATAAGGACAATTATGTGTTATTATAATAATGTATTTGTGATAATGAATAATTTTAAAATCATCTCTACCAGATACAAAGTAAAATTATATATTTATTATAGTTAACTCAAACTTAGAATTTCATTTTAAAGAGTGTTGCAAGAACTACAAAATTTATGTTTCCATTCTGGCTAGAATAAATTTATGATGCTTTTATAAGCATAAATTCCTGATAGCAATTTTTGAATACCTGAGGACTTTTAATCAATAAATATATACATATTAAAATGTATTCATCTTTTTTTGTTTTTCATTAAATTTATATCAATACTCATTTTAGCATTATTAGAATTTTTTAAAATTATATATTTAGTAATTTTGCAATCATTTCGCCTCTTTTTCAGTTTCTTCTTCAAGTTTTATTTACATGTCTGCTTGGAACTAGAAAAACTTGGACTTATTAGGCCTTCCGAAAAATCTTGCAGAAGTGCAATTGATCAATTCCATTCTCTGATACCATCCAGTTCACAATATATATCTAAAGTCAGTATTTTCAATAAAGTATAACTGGCTTTGAAATTAGTTTTCTTATTTAGAAAAAAATATTTATTTTTATAGGACTCACCATCCGAAGGAGAACATGATACTATTGGTTTACCTGTCGTACATAAATCAGCTTTCAAACATGCAACAGGTAATATATTACATTAATGTTAATATTTAATAATGGTACTGTGATACTGAAATTATTTTTATTTTTTGATATTAAAACTATTTTTGTTAATGTTGACTGTCATATAGAATACCTCCTTTATGACCACTGTCAACTATTTAATTCATAATTAAAAGTTTTTATTTCAACATAACAAAAATATTTTTTAGGTGAAGCCTTGTATTGTGATGATTTACCAAGTTTTGAAAATGAAGTTTACTTAAGCCTTGTTACAAGTACTAGAACCCATGCGAAAATTAAGAAAATCGATCCTTCTGAAGCTTTGAAATTGAACGGTGTTGTGGGGTTTGTTTCAGCTAAAGACATTCTTCAAGAAAGGAACAATTTCGGACCTATTGTACATGATGAAGAGATTATGGCTTCTGAGAAGGTGATACTTTTTATTATCAGGACCTTGAATAAGTTCTTACTATTTTCTAACAGATAGCAGCACTAATACTATGTACAGTTCAATTCAGATGGTATGGGATTTCCAAGAACTACAGTTGGTAATCTTGGACAGTGTATGTTAGTTTGTTCCAGTGTAAACAATGTTTTTTTTTTTTCATAGTTCTAAAAATGTCGAGTTTTGTGACAAGGAAAGAGTATTTGTGGGGAATTTTATGACACTATTTTATTCAAAAGATATCTGTAGCTGAAACACACAGAATTCTTGTTGAGACTCAGTGAGAATGTTATTTTGGAAATGACATGTAGAGACTGGATTTGGCGCTTCAAAAATAATGATTTTAATCTTAGAGATGAAAGCTTTGGCGCACTGAAAAAGTTTGAAAACAAAGAATTGGAGACATCACTTAATAAAAACCAATGTCAGATGCTAACAGAACTTGGAAAATCATTACTATTAGATGACGTAACGGTTTCGAAACATTTGAAAGCATTAGGAATGATGCTAATACGGAAAGGACATTGAGTGCTGTATGAGTTGAAGTTTTTTGCATCATATTGTGAATGAAGATGAAAAATGGTTACAGTATGATAATCCTAAGCTAAAAAATTGTTTAGTAAGATCATCTGTACGTCAACATAATCTGCAAAGCCAAATATCCATGGTTTGAAGCTTCTCTGTACTTGGTGGAATCAGTGAGGTTTAGCAGTTTAAGTGCTCATTTGTTATGAACTGCTAAAACCAAACGTAACTATCATCGGAGATTTCTAATCACTATAACTCATACGCTTGAGTCGAGCCCTAAAATCCCTGCTATGTGAGTATAGACACGACAAGGGAATTAGGTATATAACAATGCTCAGACGCATGTTCCAAAACTGCTAAAAACCTACCTGGAAAATGCTTAAATGGGAGGAAGTCCTGCCCCACTCGCCATATTCACTGGATATAGCTCTTTCTGATTATCATTTATTTCATTGGATGGCAGATGGCCTGACTGAGTAGCACTATCATTGTTATGAAGATACAAAAAAATGGGTAGATTCTCAGATAGCTTCAAAAGATGGTTCGTTTTTCTAATGTGGAATTCATCTGTTGCCAACAAGATGGGAGAAAGTAGTAGCTGGTGATCAGCAAATCTTAAGAGTTTTTTACCACTTACTTTTAACAAACCATTAATTTTCACAAAAACAATGAGAACTTATTCAAGATCCTTATATTATTTGAGATTTAAAAACGTTTGAGTGTTTATAAATCAATCATTAATTTAATAATCAATAAAAAATTAATTTAAACATAGGTGCTATGCCATGGCCAAATCATTGGAAGTATAGCAGCGGTCGATCAACTAATAGCTCAACGAGCAGTTAACCTTATAAAAGTTGAATATGAAGATTTGCAGCCCGTTATAATTACAACTCAGGTATTTTTTTCACTTATTGCTGCATGCTACTTATTGATTGATTAATTCACTTATAATAATAATAATAATATGTAGATTTGGTATATTTGATTTAAAGTTTATTTAATAGTTTAAACTGGATTTCGATTATGATGTTTTATTTTTATTAGGATGCTATAAAACACAAATCATTCTATCCCAATTCTCCTTTCAAAGTAAAAAGTGGTGATATAGAAGAAGGTTTTGGAAAATCATATAAAATAATTGAGGGTGAATTGACCATCGGTGGACAGGAACATTTTTACTTAGAAACGCATTGTTGTGTTGCCATTCCTAAATCTGAAGATAGTGAAATGGAGATTTATACATCATCCCAACACCCGACTGAAATTCAGGTTTGTAAATTGTTATTATTAACTTAAATATTCTAAGATTATATAAAGGTTATTAAATTTGATATAGTTCCCTTCTGTTCTTGTTTTTTTTCTCCATGAAATTTAATAAGAAATGGGATATTTTAAGAATTATATTAAAAACTTAATATAAATATTTTAAAATTTTATATTAAATTTTAATTTATTTTTTTGGACTTGCCATTGACACAAATTAGTATTCTTTAATGTTAAATATGATTATTGTTTCTATAATATGAATCAACCAAATTATTACACTTTTAAATAGAAAGTTATTACCGTCATCAAGACATCAGAAATCAAATACATGCCAGTGGCAGTAATGATAAGATTTTAGCAATCTTTAGTGACCTAAAATAAAACCTTCAAGGCTTTAGCTAAATATGAAACTTCTTTTTTTATTTTAAAACTGCGATCTCAATCTTATATATGTTCATTATCTTTTGCATTCTATTGCACCTCTAATTTACACGATTTTTTACTTTCATTTACCTAAATATGAAGTATATAATAAGGAAAAGTATTCCAATCGTGAATATTTTTTTCAACAAAATTATATGTTTTGAGATCCTCGAGTCCAAATAACCAAGTCTCGCAAAATGATCTGTGTGTATGTGAACAGACCAGCTCAAAAACGAAATTGCCTATTTAAGGTTTAAAATACCTAGGATTTTACAGCAAATTTTTCATCAAAATTGGCTAATCGGAAGTGCTATGGATTATGGATTAATATATAATATAAAAACTTTAATAATTAACTAATGGAGAAATAAAGAATACAGTGAAACACACACTTGAGCTTCCCCGAAAGGTTAAAATATGCTTGTATATATTAAACATGCAATACTTTTTTAATAAAATAGTTTTCACTGAAGGAAGTTAATCGACTGTTCTATATATCATACTTAATAGTCAGGACCCAGTCATTTTTATTGCTGACGACGTTTCAACCCAAGCATGTGGATCATCATCAGAGCATGTTTCCAGTGTTGAAGGTTTTGAAAAAGTGAGTACTTGAGCACCTTCAGCACTGGAAACATGGCCTGATGATGACCCAGATGCTTGGGTTGAAATGTAAGCAACATTAAAAATGACTGCATCTTCTCTATTTATCACCTATAAAATAGTTTTCATTAAAGCTAGTGTTGGTATTATATAATATTTAATTGTATAGATTACTGCAGTATAAAAATTAAAATTTGTAAATATACAAGAAAAACTATCTACAATGAAATATAAATAAATATAGCAGAACGGTGTTCTTTACCAGTGGCACTGTTTCAGACTAAAAATATTTCATGATACTTATTTATTTATTATAATCAAATAACTAAAACATACTGTTGTAAAACGAAATGGTTAGTGACAAAGAAAGCATAAATTTAATAAATAGCTTTAATTAATTGTTTGAAATATTTTGTGCCGTCTATAGTTTTTATTTTCACTTCACTTGCTTAAAAATGCTTGTTTTTGTTAAAAGAAAAGGTGGTAAGTGAAAGTTTTGTGGTTCGCGCATCAGATTTTTTTACATATTCTACTGTTTAACTTCTTTATTTAAAATACGGCTTCAGTTATTAAAATTAATGATATTTAAATATTAATTTTCTTGTTTAATCGTAGAACTTAGTAGCGCTTGCCCTTGGGATTCCTTTCAATAGAATAGTATGCAAAGTTAAGAGAATGGGAGGAGGCTTTGGTGGAAAGGAGTCTCGTTCTGCTTACCTTGCTTTGTGCACTGCTGTGGCTGCTTATAAGTAAGAAATATTCACAAAATAAAATTATTTCTGACTTTTAATTTATATTATTTTTATATTAATTTGTTATATTTGTTTTAGATTAAAAAGACCTGTACGAGCTATGCTTGATAGGAAAGAAGACATGGTAATAACTGGTCATCGACATCCTTTCTACGGAAAATATAAAGCTGGATTTGACAAAGACGGCAAGATCAAAGCTTGTGAAATATCTCTATATTGCAATGCTGGTTGTTCAACTGATCTTTCTGATGCTGTAAGTTTTTCAAAATAACTTTTATAATCGATTAATACTATTTTTTTTTCTGGCTTCCAATGTATGAGCCTTTCAGTTGCCAGAATGACTAACTCCAATTTCAACATTTTTATTATTAATTTTAGTGATAAAATTTATAACTTTATTCACAGTTCTATATTTCAGCACTGCAATAACCTACTGTTAAATCAACTTGTTCATTGTATGTACAGATATTATAAATTTTCCAACTAGAAATATCATTAAAATGACTACTCAAAAATGTTGAAATTGGAGTTAGTCATTCTGTCAACTGAAAGGCTCATATTACATATGCTTCACAAAATTGATGAAGTAATTTAAAGCTATATATAGGATATTTGCGTGAATACAAGTATCTTGTATGAATACAAAATTAATTGTTTCATTCGATCCATCTTTGGAGTCCCCAGGCGCTCCCATGTCTCCAGTTGGTATGCCGAGTTGAAGTGGCTCTATCCAGTCTTCCAACGGCAATATTTCCTAGGCGTATTCCTTGTCTGAACCTTTACAACTAAAACGCCATCTTACTCTCTTGATTTGTTTACTTCTTATTCCTCTGTTCATTTGCTTAACAAGAGATCCCAGTCCATAAACCTGTTTGTCCCCTCTCATACAACTGTTTCCTTAAAAAAAATCCTTTATCATGCATGCTACCTTTTTTTTTGGAATTTTGCCCCAAAACTTAGAAATTAGAATTCACAAAACCATTATCCTAACTTTGGATTTTTATGGCCCCGAAACATGGCCGCTTACATTAAGGGATGAGCAGGATCTTAAGGTTTTTAAAAATAAAATGTTGTTTAGAATATCCAGACCGAAGAAGAATGAGTCAACCAGAGAATTGGACAGTTACACAAAACTGAATGGCATGAACTTTTTGGGTTCGCTAAGCCTATTAATAATAATAATAATATTAATCTATTAATATTATAAAGACATTTCTTGAATTAAAAAAAAATTACAAAATTTATCCTGTAATTCATAAAGAATTTTCAAAATATTAAATTCCTTGAATTTAATTTATCCATGTAAATTATATTTTGTCAATTTTTTTAAATTATACTTTAAAATATCTTATACTTTACTTATGTTTCTTCACTGTCACATATTCTGTTGCACCATTGCCTCTTGTTATCTACTCTCTTAAATTATTTTCTCCACTATTGGTTTTATTTTGGCATTATTGGAATTTTATTTTTAAATAATTTAGAAATTTTTTAAATTAAATATAATTTTGTATTATATTTTGGACTAGAATATAATAAAGTAGCCTTCAATTAACTAGATAGAGACTAGTTCTTTTCAAGATCTTGGATTTATGAAAAGCAATGAATTTTAAACTATACAGATTATGAAATGCCTTCTTTCAGGTGTTTTTTTTATCTTCTCAGGTTCTATGAAGATAAAATTTTATTTAATTTTTAAACTTTTTAATTTTCAAATTACCCTTATGTACACATAACTATGTTAATAGTATACAATAAATACTACTATTAGTTATACAATAAATAAATTTTGAGTTTTAATTACAAATATTTTTTTTGTTATGTTAATCTTATTAATAAAATTAAGCTTTCAGGAAATAGATATATTTATGAGAAAAATCTCCATAACACTTTATCATGTGTATTTTACAGTTAATTCCATTTATTCCAGATATCAGTGATTTGGACTGACTCCAGTTCTATCTAGTCTGGATTAATGGGACTTAATTGTTCCTTAAAACAGCTACAATGTTATTATTATTTTCATTAATAAAAAGATACAGGAGAATAATTGAATCACAAATTACATAGTGTTAAAAATGAAGATGTAATTTGTTGACTTGGCATACCATAATCAAATAAATTGTTTCAGGTGATGGAAAGAGCAATGTTTCATGTTCAAAACACCATGCACATTGAAAACTTAGAAATTTCTGGCTATGTATGCAGGACTAATTTACCATCAAACACTGCTTTTCGAGGGTTTGGTGCACCTCAAGCGATGCTGTTAGGAGAAACTATTGTTTTTCATATTGCTGAAATATTAGAGATCGATCCAGATTTGGTTAGTAATTAAGTTGATTTGCTTATCTAAAATACATGGTTCTGGATTATATGGAGATTATTTTTGGCTTTAAGACTTGTAGCATGACTAGAAGCAACTTCTAGTTTGTTAACATAATTGTTTAATTGTCATTGCAAAAAGATATTAAACTGGATATGAACCGCTAAATAATTTTTTAATATAATATACTTCTTCTGTAATACTTGAATTTGAAAGACCAATATTTTAAAACTGAAGCAGTAGTTTTATAAAACTCAAATGGGAATAAGAGGCGACTTTTATTATATTAACACTTTTATATCATTTAAAATTTTTACTAAACTATGGACGTTATCTTTATTTATTGATTGAAGAAAGGTAACACCATCATCCATAGCTTTCGACCTTAAACTTATTCTTCATTTCTCCAGTCTTTTGCAGTTGAAGGCAATGTGTTGGATTCTCCAGGCATTGGCATGTAGGACAGTAATCGATCTTAGCTATACCCATTACGTGTTGAAATTTATTTGCTCTACTATGATTTATTGTAAGCCTGGTCAGCTTTACTAAGATTTGGTGGTCGAGATGAAATTTCAGTGTTGCAAACCATGGAACTAGTGGCATCTTCTGTTGAACTATTGGATGGTACTTTTGAGTCTTATTCTCAGTCCTAAAAATGCTGCTTTATTTATTTTCATTCAGTAAATTCGTCTTTCATTATTTCTCCCTCACTAATCTTATCAAGTCCAATAATGGAACATTAGGATTTATCTGTTGTAGCTGGATTTGATTCACCATTTTGTCTACCATTTCATTTCCAGATATTCCGACGTTTTTCGTCACACATTGGAAAAAGTAATTGTTCAAAAATTATGAACTGTTTTAAAACTTCATTAATCATAATCACCTTGTACATTATGAGTATTAACCCCAGCACAGAGGTATTGTATGCTGAGTTAGAATTTAGAAAATTAGAAATCTAATTACTTTTAATTATTGTCATTAATAATGTCTAGTTTTATATTATTGAATAGAATACAAATATTCTTAAAAAAAAAAAAAACTAAATAGAATTTCCACAGAAAATCAATGAAAACCAAATTTTTTTCACCATGATAACACAAAAATATACAGTTCACAGAATCTCTCTATTATATAAAAAAAGTTTTTAGTGACTGTAATATTTTATTTTATAATATATATAAAAAAAAAATTTTAGTACATTATTGCTAGCTCTAAGCATCACATTTAATAATTAATTAATAATTTCCGTCGGATATTCATCTGGAGGTGGTAGTTTGATTTAACCTAGGTGACAGCAATTATTTTTCTATCAATACATTTCCCCTTGATTATAACATATTAATTAACATGAAATAGAAAAAGAAGCACAATATAACGTACAATGAAAATATTAGAAATAAAAGGCTAAAATTGATGTTGGGATTATATAAAGCTGGACAAGTTAAATATATATTATGGTTACAAATTGGCAATAAGCTGCGATTTATAATATAGATTTTTAAAGAATTTAAAAATCTGCCTGAACTGTAGTTTTGTTCCATTTATTTTATGCTGATAAAAATAATACAATCTGAACTACAGAATACATGTTAATTACAGTTATACAATTTGAGCAAGGAGTAGTATATTTAAATGAACAGTTGTAAACTTTGTAAAATGGGGGTTATTATGCTGTTAGGTGGAAAGGGTGTACTCCTTTAGTTTTCATAATTTATATTAATTTTTATAAGTTTGTATTTATGATTAAAATAATATATTTAAGCTTTAATAACTTTTAAAAAACTAATTTTTATTGAAAGTGGTATAATAAGTGAAAGTTGTGTGATACATCTTTTTTCTATATTATTATTTCTTACAAAAGATTTATAGTTTTTCTTTAATTTTTAGGTGCATTTTAGAAACTTTTATAAAGAAGGAGATTATACTCAATTCAAGCAGAAAATAGTGAACTGTACTATTGAGCGTTGCTGGAACGAATGTAAAATAAGTTCCAATTATGATGAAAGAAAAACCAGAGTCAGTCAATTTAACAGGCATGGATCATTAGTACTTAAAATCAATAAATATTCTTTATTAATATGATATATACGTTTTTTTTTTTGTATTATTATTAAACACTTTATTCAGAAATATTACAATTGGACACTTATAATAGAGTTCAGAGAGTGCATTCATACCATATATACAAAAACATAAATAAATAAAGTAATAACAAAAGAATAAGAAAAAAGAACAAAAGAGTAAAGAAAAAAAAAAATATACACATAAGTAAATAAAAATAGAAATAAAAGTAAAACAAACATCTTATATAAAACATACCTATATACATTATTTACAATTTGCCAGGTGATCTCCGAACTAATCCTGTCCCCTCCACATGTGGAGGGAAAAGGGAGGCTTCGGAGATCTCTACGCTTCTCCCTCAGCCACTTCACTGGTATTTAAAACCAGCGGAGGATGAGTAAGAGCGCTACAGCCACAGACACTCATGACTTGAGTGGAGAATCTGGCCATTGCTAGAACTCCAAAATATCCATATTTACAAAAGGTCTCGTGGCCACTGCCGCTTTAACCTACGAAGGGGATTGTAGGGATGGGTGGTGCTTGATAGGAATTGTACCACGGGATTTGGGTGATGAGAAAGGTTCTGGTGAAATTTGGAAAATTTGGCTGGGATAAGATCAAGAATAAATGGGATATTAAGGTCATGATGTAGGGTTTTATTGGTTACTTAGAAGGGAGCATCGACTATTGTACGGAGGACTTTAGACTGAAAGGATTGAATGCGTTTGATGTTAGAAAATTTAGCTGTTCCCCATAGTTCTAGTCCGTAAGTCCAGATGGGTTTCAGTATTGTCTTGTAGATCAGTAATTTGTTTTCACCAGAAAGTTTAGATTTTCTATTCAGTAGTCTATATAGCTGGCCATATCGTCTGTTAAGTTCCTGTCTTTTAAGTCTAGTATGTGGATTCCATGTTAGTCGTCTGTCTAAGAGAAAGCCAAGATACCGGACTGTATTTTTTTTTTTTTTGTAAAAATCTTCAATAGATAATGTTATTTTTGGTTACTATCTATGGATTTCAAATATAGATTTAAAAGAGTTAAATGCTAATTGTTCAGAAGGATTGAACATTTTTAACAGTTGTAAATTTTCTCCATTATTTTGTGTTTACGGTTATTATTCATCATTTTAAGACCAATTTTTTGAGGGATATTAATTGGTCTGCTGAGGGTAAGGGGTATTTGTATGAAGAATTTAAATTAAACTTAAATAGTAAAATCACTTGAATTCTATTTCAGCTCAAATTTACATGATTTTTTTTCTCTGCTAGCACCCAATGGGCAAGGCACAAGGCTCTGTGATTGGATATACCCACTTATAACTCTTCTTTCTCTTCCTTAGTTTTTACTCGTATATATATTAAAATTTTCAGTTTGATTAACTGTTTCTTATGATTTTGCTGGTTTGATTAGTAAATTTCATTATTTTTCTTTTTTTAGAGAGAATCGTTTCCGCAAGCGTGGAATTGCCCTCATACCAACAATGTTCGGTATAGGATTTTCTACTCCTTTCCTTGGCCAAGCTAGTGCTTTGGTACTGATATACGTTGATGGTTCTGTACTCCTGAGCCACGGCGGCACCGAAATGGGCCAAGGGCTACATACAAAGATGATTCAGGTAATGTGCAATATTTTATTATAACTATTTATTAATTATTGAGACCAAATAATAATATTAAAACAATTATGTTTAGGTTGCGAGTCGAGCTTTAGGAATTTCTACCGATTACATACACATATCTGAAACATCAACTGATAAAGTTCATAACACTTCGGCTACAGCAGCTAGTGCATCGTCTGACCTCAATGGCATGGCTATTATTGTATGTTATAACCTTTATAAGATTTACGTTAATTTTGTTGTAAATATTAACTAATTCTATTTCAAATTTTAGAATGCCTGTGATCAAATAAATGAAAGATTGAAACCATTAAAAAAAGCTAAGCCTGATATTTCATGGACAGAATTGATTAAAGAAGCATATTTCCAAAGAATTTCATTGGCTGCCACAGGTTTTTACAAGTTAGTTTAGTCATTAATTATTCATTTTATTGTAATAAATGGACTAATATTAAAAAAAAACAGATATCGCCTCCAGAAAACTGTCATCAGTACAACTTAAAGAGATAAACTCCTCCATGTGAATAGTATAAATAAAATAAAGTCATAACATATATTTCAAATCATGATAAAGGAGTACATCAGACTTTAGGTAATTATAACATTTTATGTGACAACACAACTTTAACATGTATTGTAATATGCATTCTTTTTGAATTACCTCTTGTCTAACCAGAAATCGCTATGAAAATATGGGATTTTAAGTTTTGAAGATGGAAATAATTTTCTTGAAACGTTAACTTAACATGTAATGAACAGATAAACCAATTGTTTGTATATCTGGAAGTTTTCATAGCCAAAAATAGAGCATATATTAGAATTTCCTAAGTTTTTCATGAATAATTAACTAACTGGCTATATAGAAAAATAACCAAATAAATTTGCTGACATTTAAACCCATTTGCAAAAATCCACCAGCTGTGGTTCATATTAATGTTGAAAATTTCTTTTGAAGTGTTTACCACCAGCACATTTACCTTACTATATTATGCTAATAACAGGAATCGATTATTAGAGATGAAATATTACACAATTTTTTTTTTAAATTTAATCACTTATTAAGGATAATATAGTTTAAATATAATTATATAAATAACATTTTAATAATAATACTTGTAGATTTACAATGCTCCAATGAATACCTTTAAACACTTACTTGCCTATGTAGAAATATATTATGACAAAAATATATTTCTTTTATACTAAAACAAAACAACTGCATATTCTTATCCATTTTCCCTAATCAATCTAATTAAACTATTCTTAAAAATGTTTAAGTTATTATTTTTTAAAATTTATTAACAGATTTGCAGATACCGGTGATCCTACTGCAGAAGCAAGCCATACTTTTTATTACTATACTTATGGAGTTGCTTGTTCAGAAGTAGAAATTGATTGTCTGACAGGAGATCATCAGGTAAATAATGCCCAAATGTTTTTCCGAAATAACTTGAATTATTCCTGTTGTTAAAATCAGAAAACAAAGCTTTGAAGAAGTAAAATAAAAAAATAATTAAAAAAAAAAAGACAAATTTATGGAAGTTATGTACTCATTTTGAAATTTTCCTAATCTGTACAGGTGCTTCGAACCGATATTGTGATGGATGTCGGACAAAGCCTGAATCCTGCAGTAGATGTTGGACAGATAGAAGGTGCCTTCGTTCAAGGATACGGACTCTTCACTCTGGAAGAGTTGGTATATTCTCCTGAAGGCATGCTATATTCGACAGGACCTGGTACATACAAGATACCTACTTTATCTGATATCCCTGCACAATTCAACGTATCTCTTTTGAAAGGATCTTCAAATCCAAGAGCTGTTTATTCTTCTAAGGTATGATTATCTTTCTTTGTTATGTAATGATTCACAATAACTCCACTGGGGGTTCCCAAACTAGTTTGTTCGTATTATGTTTAACGTACCATGTTTGTACAAGAACATACACTTGGTATATGATCAAGAAAAAAAATTATGGACAGAAATATTGTTGAAACTAATCTCAGAATAAAAGAAAATAAAAGTTGAAAAAAAAAAATGAAATAAGAAGTAGCTAGAGTGATTGTGAACCCTTAAACTAGTATACTGTGATGTTTTTACTTATATTTCCTGAATATTATGATTTTTAACATTTATTTTAAAGTAATTTCAGCAATATTATGTTTACATTTTTTTTTCAACAAGTGTTCTTTAATGTTTGTGAAATATTTTATAAATATTGTGAAGTGATCAAGTGTAATTGTACTTAAGTAAACTATAAGACCTCTGGTATGGATCATAAATGAAAATTATAATTTTTTTATGGCCTTAAGATTTTATGCAAAATCCTATTTTGCCAGAAGTTATAAATTATTAATAACAATAATCAATAATTTGTTATATTTATTGTTATTATTGACCAGAACTGCTTGAAAACTTATGATTTGGATGAACCAAAAATGTAAGATTTGGCTCCTAAACAAGGACAAATGAAAAATCTAAGTTTTGGCACTCAAACAAGGATGAAGGACAAATTTGGCGCCAAAACTGGGATTTCAAAAATAAATTCCAATGTTTTTCTACCAAGTTAATTTGGATAAAACAAAAATAAGGTTGTTTAACACCAATGTAAAATCAGTCTTTCTCTACTGAAGTGAAAAATGGAAAGTGACTGAAATCATTACACGACCCCTTCAGACCTTCATCAACTGCTGCTTGCGAGGAATCCTGGATATTTGGTGGCCCGAGAGAATTTCGAACAAAAGACTCTGGAATACTAATGACAGCTTCCTAAATGTCTCAAAATAAGGAAAATGAAATAGAAATGGATTGGACACATTTTAAGGAAATCTGATAGTGCGATCGAAAAAGAAGCACTTCAATGGAATCCCCAAGGGACAAGAAGAAGAGAAAGATCAAGATAAACATGGCAAAGATCTGTGCATAATGACCTGAGCTAGGCTGGCAAGACTTCACCAGAAGCAAAAAATGATTGCTGCAAAAAGATTGGAATTGAATACTGGAATGAAAAGATTGTTGATGCCCTATACTTCACCAGGAGTCAACGGTTATAATATAATAATATATATGTAAAAATAGCGCAAACAATTTAATTGTAATTCTTGATATGATAATAATATTTCTTATACCTATTTTAATTTATTATTTGCTGCAGGCTATAGGAGAACCACCTCTTTTCCTCGCTGCCTCTGTATTCTTCGCTATAAGAAATGCAGTGAAAGCTGCTAGAAAGGATAATAATATCGAAGGGTGGTTTACTTTTGACTCCCCAGCGACTTCTGCCAGAATCAGAGAAGCTTGTGTTGATAAAATTATTGAGAAGGTTAGTCGCTACGATCTCAATTATTTGGTTATTGTATTTTTGAAATTAAAAAGAATTTAGTTTTTGAAATTTATCTGATTTCAAAATTAAATGCTTAATACTAGACTGTTACAAAAGCCTTCAGCATTAAATAATTTTTTTATAAATTTTAATATAAATTGTTCATAACAAAATTATTCTTCAAGATATAGGCCATAAATTTCAATTACTTTAATTTATCTTTCTGCCAGAAATTGAATTTGGTGAATATATTAGTCCTTGGTTTTTGAGGCCAAAAACTCCTTCCATCTTGATTTGTTATGGAAGTAATCTTTTAAAAAAATGACTGTTACCTAATAAAAATCATACTTAAGGTAAGATAATTAAAAAAAAAAAAGATCTGATGGTGCTATATCAGGAAAAAGGAAACGGGAAAAATGCCAACAAGTGAAAATGGGGAAAATAGCGACTGGAGAAATTGAGAAAATGAGAGGAAGAGGGAAATGCAGAAAAGGGAATATTGTGAAGATGGGGGGGAGGAGGGAGGGGGAAGAAAAACAAGAAAACGGGAAAATTGTAGAAATAAGGAACAGCAATTTACAAGAATGGTGATAAGATGCAAAAATTAGAGAGATTGGGAAATTGATAATAATTTAGAAAAAGGGTAAATCACGAAAATGGGAGGAAAACTTAGAAACGGGGAAATTGGGAACAATGGTTTTCAAAATGTGCAGAAATTGCAATAATGGAAAAATAAGGAAAACTAGAAAATAGTGATAATGGGAACATTGCAATAGTTGAATATACTTTACAAAAATATTTTACAATAGGAACTCTCTTTTGATGTGTGATTTTGGCAATTCTTTTGTCTTACATTCTTTTAACATGGCCAAACTACCATAGACGATTCTTTATTATATGTTTTATTCCTTGGTTACTTTCAATGATCGTATTTATGATCTCATCCCTTCTTATTTTCCCTCTATCCTCCTCAGGTACTTCATCCCCATTGCTTGGATCTGGCTCGTGTCTTAAGGTCAGAGTCCAAGACTCACTGACAGGTCAGTATGGGTATAAACGTCGTTTTGTATAATAGTTTTTTGAAATTTCTTTCTTTCCCAGAAAACCAGACTTGCACAAATTTACTGGCCAATTTTATTCTTTATTTAATTTCACCATTCATCCAGTCTTTTTATTGAGCTGTGTCCCAAGATATTTAAAATCATTGGCTTGTTTCACTTCCTTTCCCTTCAATTGACAAATTCGGTTTCCACGTTCTTTCTCCTTCCTGTTATCATCAATTTAGTTTTGCTAATGTTAATATTTTTTTTAACAACTGAAATTATATCTATAGGATTTTGAGGTTGAATCGTAGATTTCTTTCATTTTTCCCGAATACTTTTAAGGTGGTCACGTTTTCTCTTTCATAGGAACCGATAACTCAATAATTATGTAATTCAGATAATTAAAAATTGCTTCATAATAAACTAGATAAAATTTCCTTAAAATAAAAGCAGAGTTTGTCTTTTTCAAAACTATTTTAAGGGATCATTTATCGGCCAGACTACACTAAGTTATGTTTTTCATTAAATTATGGATTATTTGTGATGTTTTTTTCATTATCACTTTAGATAATAAATTTTTGAAAAGGCAGTATTTTTAACATATTTTTGAAATGAATAAAAATTTTATTTTCATAATTACATTATATAATTCATTATTACATCTATTTACAAAAAGAATTTTGTAACAATCTAGTGTGTTTGCCTATACTTGTGTTATATTTTTATTTAACATTAATTTTTTTTTCCAGTTGAACAAAGAACCTGCCTCATCTAAAGCTTGGAATGTTATAGTTTAATGCATAACGAAGATTTATTAATTCATATTTTATTGTAAAGAAAATTTTTTATTTTATTTCAAAATAAGAGCCTTTATGTTAGGTACTTTAAGGCTGTTGTATAATTTTTTTTATATTGTGAGTTTTAAGACAATAAAGTTTGCATTTTGTTACTTGATGTTAAACACTACTTTTTCCCAAATTTTTTTTTCTACCATCAATTACAATAATAAAGAATTATATTTGTATACTGATGGGTATATTTTAAAACATTCATCAAGATAGTTTTATGGGCAAACTAGCTGCCCATAATTTAAAATTATTGAAGGAAGTTAGACGACTGTTCTACATATCGTGGATAATAAATAGTCAGAACGCAGTAATTGTGAATATTTTTTATATTATATTTTTTATTTATGCTGATGTTTTAGCCAACTTTTTTGTCGTCTTTAGGACTGCAAATATTAATAAAGAATGAAAAGTTTCAACACAAATATTAAAAAAAAAAAAATTATCCTTTCAAGTAAGTCAGTGTAGGTTGCTCACCGTTTCCATTCATTAGGAAAAACAAAATATAATTATATCCTGATTAAACAATAACTATGTACCTTCTTGCTTTGAAGTTTTAAGAGTGATAAAATTAAACATTAAATTAATTTGAATGGCTAATGGAATTTGAAGAATTAATACTGGACCATTTGTGAACTAGTCCAAAGGAATAAACTCATTTTTTTGTTCATCAATTTGTTCCAATTGATTTTTAAATAGGGTATGTCAAGAAATATACATTTGAGATATTGTGAAGGCCTAAGTTATCTATGATCATAAGGACTTAAGACCTGAAGACATAAGACAAAACTACTTTTAAATAACAATATTCTCAATGTAATGGGACAGATTTATAGACAACTTTTAGACAAATAAGTAAATTACACTTAATGTTCATTAAAAATTCTTGTTTTTTTTTTTAATTTTACATTTGGAAAACAACACTCAAATGAATTTTATATGATGATTTTATAAAATTGCAGTTCAAGAACCATATAATTTCAGTGTTAATTGTAGCAGCCAAATTAGTCTTAAGTCCACTGCCTCTTTTTTCTTCCAAAAGTTTTGGTAATCCTTCCAAATATTTCGAGTCCTTTTCATTATCTTTGCAGTAATTTATTTTATCAAGGTAGTATTACAATTGTAGCAGCTGCTCTGTTAGATGCCTGTTTGATCCTGTACACAGAATTCCACTTGCCTGGTCTTAAATTTTGAAACTTATACCTTTCGTTCACAGTCTGTAAGTATTTAGACCTTCGGATATTATTTTGCAAGTTTTGCTCCATTTTAATGAGTGGGTATAAGATCTTATTATCACTATATAAATGGAATTGTGTGAGTAAACGAGTTGGTCCGAAAGTAAACGGAGGTGAAGGAATCTTCAATTGATAACAATTGAAAAACATGAAAGAACCGGATGGGCCAGAGAAACGGTTTAAAAACATTACTAATTTTAAGAATCGTTTTGTTAATCATAGTTTGGATTTTAGGTGAAACAGTAAGATTCCTGTCTATCGATCTTAATAATTATAATACAAACAGAGCCTTATAAAAATTTTTTCTTCGTGCCCATCTTATGAAAATTTATGTATTCACCAGAAACCAAATTAGTTCTTCGAGTTATAAATTAAATAAATGAAAAGCCATAGTGAACCTGAAAGTTCTATGTCGATACCACAAATCACTTTTTACTCATTTCTGTACTCATCACACATTTTCTTTACTCATTAATCATCGACAAATAGTCATTAATCTTCGAATTATAGGATAGCACTTATAGCTTTATGTACATCAGATTATTGACTATATATTAGTATTAATAAATTATTGAAACAACTATAAATAAAAATGTAAAGGTTGTTTTTATATATTAATATTTCCTCCTAAACATGACAAGGCTAAAATGGATCTACTATATAAGTCTGTACTTACATCATAGGCGCAGAAACATTATCTAGGCTTTCATGATTCATTCATCTCCATTTCTGCGTGATTTTTTAATGCATTTTCTACGATAAATTTGAAAAAAAATATATATTTCATTAGTATAAGTATAAGAGAATATTTTTACATAACCAGTTATATTGTGAAAACGTATTTTTATTTCTAGGTTGTGCAAACTAAGAAGTCAAAAATATTTTTCAGATTTTTAACATTATTTATTTCTATCTGAAAAAATTATAGAAATGTATCTATGTTATGAAGAATGTGGCAGCAACTTTTTCGTCAAACGGCTAACCGGAAATGCCACTTTCTACCATCGATTTTACAAATTTTTACAATTTTCTCGAAAACTGCTCTGACGATTTTGATTAAATTCATTATATAATTGTGTATGATGGACTCTCGGTGAAGCTCCGTGATCTATGAAAAGACTTATGAGCAGCTCCATAAGATTTGTAATTGGTGCCCCGAGATACTACCAAGCATCTCACCACTACATTGAGTTAAAGTGGCTCTTCCCGTCCATTCGAAGACAATATTTCCTAGGTACGTTCCTCTATCAAATCATCAACAATCATCGTCCTTCTGACGCCTACAACCTTCTCTAATTCAAGTCCTTAGTCCACTCCCTTTTCACAAGATCTCGACCTTCCGACCTTTACATTCCTTCTCACAGTTTTCACGTTCCAAAACTCGTTTATTGCTCGCTATGTTAATTTTTGGCATTTCCTTCCTATCAAAATTCGGCATTCTCCCTCCCTATCTACATTTAAAACCCCCCTATTCCAATTTCCATCCCCAAAACAGTCAGACACCCCCCTCTAACCTTTTACGCAAATTTACATATTATTCAAAATGATTCACATAATGATATATTTACATATAATTCATCACTCAAATACTTACTATCAGATTCGTATTCTTTTTCTTTTTTTTTTCTGCAGAAACACAGAGTTTATTGCTAAGAAGAATGTAATGTATTTTTTGAGAAGGAGTTGATTGAGGGGTGCGGTCAAATAAATACTAAATTATAAAAATAGTATTATTTAATGTTTTTGCCGACGTTTCGACCCACTTTGCAGGTCTTCATCAGGGGTTCAAAAACGTGGTGAAAATAAAATCTTTTGTAGCCCTGATGAAGACCTACAAAGTGGGTCGAAACGTCGGCAAAAAAATTAAATAATACTATTTTTATAATTTAGTATTTATTTACCGCACCCTCCTCCCTCCACCCCCCGATCAACTCCTCATATTATATCACGACAAACCATCTCTACATCATAATGTATTTTTTATTTATTTTTTTTTTAAAGTATATACTTATGTTTTACCACTGTACATAGTTTTAAGTATCTTGGCATGGTTTCAAGTGTTTTGTAAATAGATTTTTTTTTTATTTCGTACATAGTATGTTTAACTAATATTTTTTTTTTGTACTTTTTTTCTTTATTTTTAGTTTTTATGCTTGTTTTTACTTAGGCCAGATATAATACTTTAATTTTGTACTTTTTCGTTATTCTAAAGGGACTTTGTCCCAGAGTAAAATTATTTTTCTATTCTATAATTGTAAAATTAATCGGTTTTTAATTTAATATAGATCTTATTCTCATTGATACAATATTCTGTACATATACAGATGCGATTTTCATAAAGGCTTTCGTTGGTATTATTTAATATTTAATTATATAAATTACAAGGATATAAAAATTAAAATTTTTGTATGTAAGGGTACTTAAGCAAATAAAAATACAATGAAATACAAATAAATATTACGTCTTTAATTTTTATGTTCACTTCCCATTTGTCTGAAAATACTTATTTATGCTAAGAAGAGGGTGGCTGATAAGTGAAAGTTGTGTAATGCGCGCACCGCACCAGATTTATTCTGATAATTCTGAGTTACTCCTTGTTTACCCTTTTATTTAATTTCGATTTCGGTATTTCAGAAAAAGTAAATATATACTAACACGCATAGACACAAGAAGACATCTGGGACGGGAGGAGTTATAAATTAAATAAAAAGAAGCGCGTGACAAGAAGCGGGAAGGAAGGTCCCCGAGGAAGCAGCGCCCCCTGGAGGGGACACCTGACAGCCTTCAAGCCAAGAAATAACTTCTCAGCTGTCTTCTCCTTCCCTGTCACGGGAGTAATCTGCAAAGTGAGATGTGAATCCTCTCCTAAATCTTACCTCTTAACCTCAACTCCATTCAGTCAAATATATACAACGTTACATCTATTACTTCTGCCACTGGCTTGAAGATAGTGGAAGTATGGTTTTCGGTAGTAAATATTACTTAAAATATACGCATTAAGTCTCGTTTCTTATAGTGTCGTGTATACTGTTACTTTTAAAAAACGTAAAATGGGTACTATTCCCGAAGTGGTACTCTTTCAGCCATCTTGGTTGGTGGCAGGTTATCCACAATGTTTCAGATAAGGCTTACAACAGATATCACCAGGAAGCGCCACTATTGCGGAGTCTTGATAGCCCTTCATCCCTCCACCTTACCTTCATTTAGAAATAGAAATAGAAAATAACTTTATTCTGGAACAAAGTTCTTTTACATTAAAAAAGTACATAATTAAAAGGCTACATCTGTCCAAAATAAAACAATAATAAAAAAAGAGAAATTAAAGAAAATATTATGAGAAGGAGTTGATCGGGGGATGCGGTCAAATAAATACTAAATTATACAAATAGTATTATTTAATTTTTGCTGACGTTTCGATCCACTTTGCAGGTCTTCATCAAGGAATAGGATGTAGCACTGCGGGAGGCAGTTGAAACACTGATAGTGTTTCAACTTTAGTAACTATATACACTGATAGTGTATATATGACTTGTTTTAACTGCCTCCCGCAGTGTTACATCCTATGCCCTGATGAAGGCCTGCAAAGTGGGTCGAAACGTCGGCAAAAATTGAATAATACTATTTGTATAGTATTTACTTGACGGCACCCTCAACTCCTTCTCATATTATATCACGATCAACCATCTCTCTACATCATTATAAAGAAAATATTAGCTAACAAGCTATATACAAAAAAAAAAAATAAATAAATGTATATGCAAAACACTTAAAACTATGACAAGACACTTAAAACTATGTACAGTTGGAACAATTATAATTATACACTTTTGAGAAATAAAATAATTTCTGTCATTCTTGAAGTCATATTAAATTTAATTAAACGAACAATAATACCTTAAGAAATATTTTTTTTATAGCAAAACAGTTACATTTT